CCCCATGCGCTGGGTTGAACCAGAAAAGTTGCCACGGAGTCCCCAGACTCGAAAATCCTGCTCGAGGCTCAAACGCAACCGGCAGAACCTGCCTGCTGCACCAACTGCTGGGAAGAGCATTGGAATCTGAACAAAAAGCAAACCCTTATTTGCAGTTGTGCTGAATTTGATGAGTATGCGCGCGCGCACACACACACACACGCCTGTTTGTGTTATGTGATGTTGCGTTCAGCTCAAGGACCCTCCCCTCATACCAATGCCAACCGTTTTCTCATGGCGGCTGACAATCCGTGAGATTATCTGCCCTATGCAAGCAAGGGGACACGTTCGGAAATTTCCCAAGCCAAATTTGCTTTGCAACACTGGAACCCGCCCCGAAAACGAGAAGGTAACGGGAAGATAGGGGAGGCGTTTTGCACGTTCGCACATACTCGGCGGACATTTCTACGTTACGCTGCGAGAATAAAAAAAACTATTCTGCGCAAAAACTAAAAAAACTGAAGCTGCTGGATTTCTTGCAGTCGGGCAGCGCGGGTTAATAATTGAGCCGCACGTGGCAGAGCCGTGAGGTGGCCTGGCACCGTCAGCGCCGTCTGTCGTCCGCGAGCACCTCACCCGCTTCCCCTCTTCGCTCCCCACGGGGTTGAATTACGTGGCCTCCTTACCCCTTTGTAACCATCCCGACCTCGGGACGCAAATTTTTTTCACAAACGCCATCGCATCGTAGGCCTGACCTTTGCCCGAGCCAGTGCTACGTGGGACAAGGTTGGAAACATTCAACACTCGGCAGCACAAACAAAAATAAAAACTCGCAACCTTCATTGTTGCCGCCACTTTGTAAACAGAGGAAGGGCTGGAGCAGTGGTTAGCAGGCTGCACTGTGAACCTGATGAAGTGAGTTGGAGTCTCAACCATAGTTAATATCAGTGGCGAATGTGGGCGCGCCCATCTTCCCTGACCAACATGGTGAAAAGTATGGTTAAACAACCCCGATGCTCTTCGCAGTATAGAGGCCTTCATCCAGCAGTAGATTTATAATACTCAGAATTATTTTCGACATAACAGAAACATACATAGCAGTCCAAGACGGAGCACATATTGAAACTTCAGCATCGTGTATTTTTCAGTCATGAGGCGGTGTCATTAAGGTAGGAGCGCTCTTTTGATATGTGCTTTCGCTGTCTATAAACTCTTGTCTTCACAGTAATTAAAATCTTGACTTCATGGTGGCAATGATGCAGAGTATAATCGTGGGCCCTGGCAAATTTTTATATTGGTTATCTGGTGCTTTGACTTCTTAAATAAAACATTTACACGGCTGAAATGCATTTTAAAAAATCCCTGATGTAGCCTACAGATTTCTGCGGCAAATGCTGTTTTCGAGTATCTAGTAATGTTGTCCACACGCCGGACCGGTTGCTCGTTTAAAACTAAACTATTTTTATTTTACCAGGTAAGGCCCAATGAGCTACATTGCTCTTTTTCAGAACAACCTGGCCACAAATGACAGCTCAACAAAGTGGCTCATCACGTGGAAACTTTTCGCAGCCAAATACTCGAAACGCATGTTGATTATAAATGTAAACCGGAGGGTGCGGAGAAAACCCCACGCGACCACGACGAGAGCATGCAAACTCCAAATGTACAGGTGTCAGGGTTGACAGGTGTCAAGGGTTGGGATCGAACCCACAACCTCCTGTATACCAGGCGAGGTTGTTAACATCTCGCTGAGCAACCTATTAGAAGCTCACAACAGCTTCAGACGCCACTTGCCACTGATGCTCTCCAGGTCCAATAATCTTACTTGGCGTTGTTGGATTCCTAGTGCTGTCGTGAACCACCGCACCACCGTTCGCCACATCATCGTCATCATTTAATATTTATACCGTGACTCCTGTGGCAGTACACCTCGAGGCGCGAGAACAAAGGGGCATTTGAGATAACGACAACATAATCACTCAGGAAGTGATTGCAGAACAAATACAATGTGGAAAAATAATCCAGTACTGCACAGACAATATACTGTACATCGGAAACGCTCGAATAAACTAAATTGAAAGTCTAAACTGCGCTCGGGACCACACTCTTGTTTGTTCGCTTCATGGGAGTTATTCATATACCATCTGAATATAATACTCGCGACCGAGAGCTGGACGTATATCTCGCGTTACATTTGTCAACAAACAAAACACTGCTGCTGCACAGGGATATCATGGTTGCTTTGGGGCAGTTTGTCCACAAGTAACGAGTTATGTATATGACACGGGAGCTGCAGATGATCGATGTTTTAAGAAGTTATTAACCTCCCGCAGATGTGAAATTATTAAACCAGCTCGTGTGCACGTATTATGTTGACTTACATCACTGGACTGTGAGAGATGACGAGGGATTTGGGAGGCCTTCATTCAATAGAGTAGTGAATTAATCATGACTCCTGATACCACCCAAGTCCGTGTGGCAGAATATGACCATTATCATCAATCACCAAGTCATGATGTATCCACTACTGTATGAAGAATTTAACCCAGCCATGCTGGTTCCCCCTCTTCAATGCTGACCCCATACTTCCCCCAGCTCAGGCATGCCACCTTTACTGCCCCGTGCCCTGCCCTTTCTCCTCTGTTCGAGCACCCTAACCCAGTGATCCCTCTGTCCCGTCATTATCCTCTGTGATATGATGATTCTGCCAATGTCATGTATCCAGGAAAGCCTCGCCGTGTCTCGAAACACGTGTTCAGGAGGGGCCCTGCTACATCCGAATGTTTGGCCAATTCCATTTTCAAGGAGATTGTTTGGCTTTGTTTGGAAGGAAATCGGAGTAACCAGGGAAATCCCACCACGCATCCGAGTGCATAACACTCAAAACTCCGCACGCACGTGTTTACAAACCCTCCTGCTTTCCTGCCATATCCTGGCCACTCCTCTCGCTGCAAAGCGGATTTGGATATTTCACTAGCCATCTCGACGTGATCCTCTAACGCTTGCCTACAATGCATTCAATCACAGGTGACACCATACCCGGCATTACTTGGCTACCCATTGACCCAATGGCCCGATAACGCCAACTAAATCAACCCCGCGATTCCCTCCCTTCATTCCACAGCTCTCAATGTCCGCCTCCATTCCGATCGCGCGTTCCACCACGATCCAACACATTGGAGCACGATTGGCTATGTACGGTGCGAAAGAAGTTCAACATACATTGCACATTACCTCACTGACGGAACAACCCATGACTCTTCTCATCTGCCCTTTCTCAGTAACCACCCCACACAGCCAACTCTCCCTTACGTGTTCAACCAATATACCACCAAACATCCTTTGCTACTTTTGACCATTGTCATCATAGCCTAAATGACCCAGCGACCCGATGACATAATAAACCCGTGAACTTCTTTCGCACCGTCCGTAGCCAACTGTGAGAATCGGAGGGGCGGGGGAAGGACAACAAACTACGCAAAAAACTGTTCTAAACCTTTCCTACCACGCTTATGTGGCGACACTTTGGAATGGTGACAAAAACCCAGTAACCCAATGCCCTGTGCGCCCGTGCCCCCGTCACCCCGTCAGTCCGTCAGCGGTGCCCCGTGAATCCGTCAGTCCGTGTCCCGTGAGTCCGTCAGCCCGTGTCCCGTGAGTCCTTCAGCCCGTGCCCCGTGAATCCGTCAGCCCGTGTCCCGTGTGTCCGTCAGACCGTGCCCCCGTGAGTCCGTCAGCACGTGTCCCGTGAGTCCTTCAGCCCGTGTCCCGTGAGTCCGTCAGACCGTGCCCCCGTGAGTCCGTCAGCACGTGTCCCGTGAGTCCTTCAGCCCGTGTCCCGTAAGTCCGTCAGACCGTGCCCCCGTGAGTCCGTCAGCACGTGTCCCGTGAGTCCTTCAGCCCGTGTCCCGTGAATCCGTCAGCCCGTGTCCCGTGAGTCCGTCAGCCCGTGTCCCGTGAATCCTTCAGCCCGTGTCCCGTGAATCCGTCAGTCCGTGTCCCGTGAGTCCGTCAGCACGTGTCCCATGGGTCCGTCAGACCGTGTCCCGTCAGTCCGTCAGCCCGTGCCCCGTGGGTCCGTCAGCCCCCGTGCCTCTGTGCACCCCGCCAGCGCGTGCCCCGCGAAGCCCAGGGCCTGTGTGCGCCCCGGCGAGCCCCGCGAGCCCCCCACGTACCGCCCGTGAGCCCCGCGAGCCCCCCACGTACCGCCCGTGAGCGACGGTGAGCCCCGTGAGCCCCCCACGTACCGCACGTGAGCCCCGTGAGCCCCCCACGTACCGCCCGTGAGCCCCGGTGAGCCCCGTGAGCCCCCCACGTACCGCCCGTGAGCTCCGAGCTGCCGTGCGCGCTCCCGGAGGTTCCGCGCCGCGCGCTCACGCAGCCGCCCATGTGGCCGCGTCACCCGGGCGCGAGGACGACAGCAGCCTTCGCATTGGCAACCAGATACAAGTAGTAATTGCAACGTGCACGCACACACTAGAGAAAAAATAATTTAAAAAAAAACTAAAATAAATTTTAATTTAAAAAAAAATGTGAACTAGAAGTGGACGATGAGGAGGAACGTTACGCGCACGGGACGCGGCGAGACGCCATCGCCGCGGACGACGTCACCGGTCCACGTGACGCGCGCACAGCTGACCGAGGTCGTGACGTCACTTCAGAGGGGGGAGGGATGGGGGCGGGTTCGTAACCGCGGCCATCTTTGTAAGGGACGGGCAAACGCGGGTACCAATTGGCGGTCAACGCGCGGTTCGGTGACGCCGGTACATGCGCAGCCAATGGAGACCCTTGAAGGAGGGTTCTTACTCTAGTAAGATGGCCGCACGATGCGCGACTGTAATGGATGAGATATTGTTTTTTTTTAATATATAAAATAAATCATTGTTACAAGGCGACCCTTTATTGTAAAGCCAATCAAGAGATACGTTTCAGAGTTTCGCTGACAATTAAAATAATGACGCAACGTCAAATAAAAATAGTGTTGGGGGAGGAGGGGGCGAGGTGAAGGGGGTTTGTGCGAACCTCACAGGGTGATTGTTTCCGGGTTTTAGGTCAGAGGTCGCGGAGGAGGTGGGGTCGCGGTCCACATGGCAGCCTCGCACGTGGCCTCGGGGCTTGCGGATCCCGCGGCGGGAACGGAGTCCGTGGAGTTGCGGGAGCTCGACTCGGGCAAGGTCAGCACAGGGCAAGGCCAGACGCAGGGGGGCAAGGGCAGGGGTAAGGGCATGGTCGAGGTCCGGGGCACCAGGCAAAGGCACGGGTGGGGGAAGGTGAGCGGCAAGCTCCCGCGTGTGGGTTTAACGCGGGGCTCGCGTCGAAACGCGCGCGTCTGGACCAGGAGTCGTGTTTGAGATTCGAGTCTCGGTTCGGGGCTCGAGGCGAAGTCCTTGTCACGAGAGTGTCTGAATATTGTACTGTGGGAAGTCCACAGCGGTTGGTTAATCCACGTACGCTTTCGCGACCAATATGCATAATATAGTTTTTTTTGGGGGGATTAGATCGAATAAATGTAAACCTGTCATTAAACCCGCCACCACCCGACACAGACAATCAGTGAGGGTTGTCACGTAAAAAGAACATGTCAATTTGTTACTAGTACAGCAGACCGGTGTGTTTGGTGAGCAAATCCACAACATTTACAGTCTGAGTACGACGTTTCGCCAGTAATTACAACCGGCATCATCAGGCGGACAGTGCTGTGAATGGCAAAGTCCTCGGCAACACGAATGGTGAATGTTATTCTCAGAGCTGCCAACAGAGATGATTGTTCGTTTGAGCATAGATACACTTGTACATTGGGCCAACCTTGTTGTTTAGCTCGATAAAGCCAGCACGATATTGTGAAGAGGCATTTCATAGGTCTATCGATAAAATGATCCCCTTCCCTGCCCCTAAAATGTGTAATGTGAAATCAATAAGTGGTTATGGACAGACTGCTCCCTGCCACGGAAGCGTGACATTTCCACCCTGGGCTTCATCATTGACGTCCACGAAGATGAACACCGCGCCACGTTCGTTTAGCAGGGACACGCGTTTGGGTCCAGGTGCGACATTGTGGTCGGTTTTGGTCGTGGTGGCTTTAATCAGGATAGTCGGGGTTTTCCATCCTTCACTGTTTCCGGCCTCTGCCCCCCCACCACCACCACCACTTCGTGTCGCGCACAGGGCCGGGGACTCGTGGCCAGAAGGAGAATCCGCAAGGGAGACGTCCTGTTCTCGGAGCAGCCTGCGGTGTCCGCGCAGTTTCTCTGGAATGAACACTACACGTATCGAGGTGAGGACGCGTTTGTGTCGTTATCACACGACCTGTCATCAGCTCCACTACTGACACCGGCACCAGCAGCAGCATGATCGTCGCCGTTGTATTTTCAGGGTATTGAATTGAGCCTTGTCCGAAGGGAGAATTGTTGGCACTTGCATGTAACGTTTGTGTGTGTGTGTGCACGCGCGCTGCCCCGTGATCCCAGGAGGCTGGGTTGAATTTCCGGCCATGATGCACAACATCAGTGGCAGAGTCGTACCCGAATATATCCTGAGCTTACCCCAACACACCGGTGTGCTGTACTAATATATACGTATAATAATCATTCGCACTTGCGGCATAAAGGTGGCCGGGCATACGTGATACTGGCCAAACTGCTCTGCTCCAGTCTTAATAGGCGCTCGCTACGAACTTGCCCCAGGGCTCAGTGAGGGAGCCTGTGCATGCGACTGTGTGTGTGCTTGCATGTAGCGGTTAGCGTGATGCACTACGAACCCGTCGATCCGAGTTCGATTCCTGTTCACGGCAAACACCAGTGACGATTATCTGAACCGGTCCTGGGCCTCCCCTAGATGGACTCAGCCTCAAATGAATATCTGGTGCGGTGTTGGGGAGACGAAGGCGGCCGGGCGTGGTGCTGACCATCTACCCCCTCGTGTGCCGTGACGGCCTTCATAGGTTCTCGCGAACAGCACTTGCCCCAACAGTCTGTTTTGGCTATACGGGGGATCTTTGTCTGTGTGACAGCATGTCACCACTGTCTCCGCGCGCTGGAGACGGCCGAGGAGAACGCGCGCCGCCTGACGGGGAACCCCGCGCTCTCCCTGCCCCACCCCGAACTCTGCCACATCGACACGAGCGCTCACCAAGTGTGTCCGGGCTGCCAGGTTCGTCTCGCACCGGGGCCGCCTAACCCCCCCCCTCACTCCATCTCACCTGCCAATATATTATCAGCACGCCCCTCTCCTCCCATTAACCCATCTCCTCCCACCTCGCCCTCCTATACTGATCGTCCCCTTTGTCATACCCCACCTTTTCCCTCCCACCAAACGCTTTCCCTCTCCTTGCGGTCCCCTTCAATCCCCACCCTTCCCCTTGCTCATACCTCAACCCTTCTCCTCCCCTACCACCTCACCCATCCCCTTTCCCGCCCATCCTCCTCCCATCCCAATACCCCTCATCAGTCATACACCACACTTCTCGCCTCTCTCTTTCCACCCGATCCATTCATCTCTCTCCCTCACTACTCTTACCCTCTTCTTTCACCCCTCCACTGTCACTTGGTAATGATAGTGATGGTTGTTGATGATGATTCTAGATTTGAAGCTTTCGTGACTGCAAGGATCCATATGCTTTGGTTCTATTCGGTAAAGTCACGTAGGTAAAAATTAAAACAACAAAAATCACGACGTTTCGGCCACAACACAAGTGGCCTTCATCAGGTGAAGGGACCAGACTGTCTCGAAGACTGCGCTGGAGTGAAACAGAGCAAAGCTTAGACCACGGCCTTTAAGCTGTGTGAGAGGGATTAAGGTGCCTTGACAAAGGAATTAGCATAAAAAATTGGCATTTAATTGGCGGCCTTAGCATGATGAAAGGTGTAGAGAGGGTGAACATGTGGGTGCATATGCACCCGCATGTGCTGCGAAAGTTTGGGGTACCACTGCTTGAAAAATTTTAATTGGCGGACTTAGCATGATGAAAGGTGTAGAGGGGGTGAACATGTGGGTGCACATGCACCCGCATGTGCTGCGAAAGTTTGGGGTACCACTACTTGAAAAAATATACTGTGCCATTGAAAATTAGTTTAATGTTTGGTTCGCTTTAGAACATCTTTCCAATGGTTGCTTAATTTTAAACCATCTTCTCGGTTGAAATAGTGTCTGTGTTTGTAGATCTGAATTGCCTCGTGAACAAATCTCTGATGAAAAACCGTGGTTTGCAAGGTTCTTTTCAAGTAGTGGTACCCCAAACTTTCGCAGCACATGCGGGTGCATGTGCACCCACATGTTCACCCCCTCTACACCTTTCATCATGCTAAGTCCGCCAATTAAATGCTAACTTTTTATGCTAATTCCTTTGTCAAGGCACCTTAATCCCTCTCACACAGCTTAAAGGCCGTGGTCTGAGCTTGGCTCTGTTTCACTCCAGCGCAGTCTTCGAGACAGTCTGGTCCCTTCACCTGATGAAGGCCGCTTGTGTTGTGGCCGAAACGTCGTGATTTTTGTTTTATTTTTTGCCTACGGACTTTACCGAATAGAACCAAAGAGTGTTGATGATAATGTTGGTAAGTTGTGATGGTGGCGATGGAAATAATGATGATGGTTGTTGATGATGATGTTGATAGTAGCGGTGGTGATTGGAATGATGATGATGACGGTGGTCGCCACCAAGGATGATCACCGCTCTCCCTTGGCCCCCTTGCAGGTGCGGTACTGTGGCACCGCTTGCCAGCAAGAGGCCGAGGCCCGCTATCACCGCGTGCTCTGCCCGGGGCCCTCGGCGGACGATGTCGCCCACCCGCTCACTCGGCTACGCGAGGCGTGGAGGTGCCGGGGGGTCGTAGGCATCATGCGGCGATTGTGTTGTCACAGACTCAGCCGCGACGTGGATTTTTGCAAACCGTCTGTAAAGTCGGCTGCTTTTCAGGACACCGTCGTGCAAAATATTCACGAGGCGGAAGTAGCGGTGATCGCTAAGTTCGATTGGAAAAGAGTGCCTCTATATTAAAATCGGCCTGCGAAGGTTGAAAAAGGGGTGAAAGCCTTTTTAATGTTTGTCACTTCAACGCATCGCAGTGACGCACACAAGAAGTACATTGTTCCCGTGTGATTGGATGCGTGTTTTGATCGTGTAAGAATAAGTTATAACATAGGGGTTTTTTTTCTTAGTTGGATCGCGTAAATATAAATGTGTCGTTAAACCCGCCACCACCCAACACGGCCAATTAGTAAGGTTTGTCACGTAAACAACATGCCAATTCGTTATTAGTACAGTACACCGGTGTGTTGGAGACTAAATCCACAACAGTTACACTCTGAGTTCGACGTTTCGCCAGTAATTACAACCGGCATCATCAGGCGGACAGCCAGATTTGTGGAGAAATCCTGTTTTCGTTCCTTAAATAGAGGGATAAAATTGATGACATCACTTGTGAGCATAAGTTAGTTACGATTAAAGCAAAACATAACAGTTGCTACAGTCAGTTGGATTAACGGAGCGAAGCAAAACTTTAAAAGACGTCGCAATAAATTTTCACGAAAGAAATAGACAAAATAGACCCCAAAATTCTAACAATGTATTGATTCACGTAGTGGGTTGGATTGTTTTTTGTCTTAACGCAAATTCCATTCTCGCTGTTGGCCAGGATGATGCACTACCCTCCTGAAACGTGCAGCATCATGTTGCTGGCACGGATGATCGCCACCGTGAAACAGGTGAGTGGCGGCAGTGGTGGTACCAGCAGTGATGGTGGGGATCCCCACCCTTTGCAGTGGAGTGGAGATGTTGGTGGAGGCGATGGTAGTGATGATTATAATGATACAATTTGTAACGCGCACAGCATATTTCAGGGACATAAACGACTGTGACTGAGACACGGAGCCAAGCTGAGTGTCGCTCGAAAGCCATGCGAGAGAGGTGTGGCCTTTAAGTGTCTCTTCAAGTCGGTGTAGATTGAACGTCGCTGCTGCCAATGTGCAGCGGGACGATGGTAATGGCCGCATTCTAGACAGTGAGGGCTGCCACGGAGAAACCACACCTAGCAGTGACGATGCTGGTGCTTGGTGTAGAGAGGGGGTTGTGAGCCGCGCTGAGGAGAGAGGTCTTTCGTGAGCGGTAGTAAACGGTGGACAACCGAAAGTAGAGCTGCTGGTGGCAGAGGAGTAAATCTTGAGGCTGACTGCTGGCAATGGGAAGTCGGTGGAGGATAGCTCAGGCAGGTGAGGGAATTGACCCAAGGATGACATGCACCAAGGACGATGTGGGGGACTAGATGGTTTTGCAACCGTTGGGAGTTTCTCGAGGTTTCTCGATAAAGACCGCACAAGGATGGAGTTGTAAGAGTTGAGACAAGACCCAACTACGCTGCAGGCGAGGGTGTCGGTGATGTTGGTGGTGATGAGTGGATGTAAATGACGGCGGAGATCTGACGATGCGGTTGGTTTGGCTGTCACAGGTCAAGGTGGAGTTGAGAGTGACGCTGAGGAATTTTTTGGATAGTGGAACCAGCAATTATATTCTAGAAGGTCGCGTGGACGTGGTGAGACGCTTTCTGGTGCGGATCAGGATCCCTTCGGATAGGAAGGTGGTGGTGGTATGGCAGTGATGAATGTGGCGATTGGTGATGGCGATTTGGTGGTGATAAGCGGTCGTGATGATGGTGGTGGTGGTGGCGGCAGTGATGATGGTGGTGATAAGCGGTAGTAATGGTAGTGGTGGTGGCATAACAAAGCCACTGCTTTGTGAATTACTCCAAGCCGTGGCTGCACGGATAATTAGCGACGCTGTGTTAACATGGCCAGGGATTTGTAAGGAAGCGGAACAGTGATGCGTTATTGTAATGCTTTTCAGTGTATCATCGTCGGGGCTTTGCGCTATATTTTATAAAAACACTGAAAAGTCATCGTGCAGTCGAACGTGGAGTGGTGGTTGTGTCCCATTTACAGGCCGGAGCCTGTGGTTGGCTCATCACTTCCCCCGTTGTTTCTAGAACAAGGAAAAACATTTCCCGGTGTAGGCCTAGGCCAGTGTTCTTAACTAAATTTCAGAGGGGGGGGCGCCACTTTCGCCGATAAGACATCAGTGTGAGGACCGCCACACATTTGAAACTTTTGGGTTTAACACCATCATGATGTGGGGGGGGGGGGATTTACGCATTTGTGGATTTTTCGGGGACCACATGTCAGGAGCTGCACTAAAGGACACCAGGGGCCGCCAGTGACCCGCGGGCCTTGCAATGAAGAACACTGGTCTAGGTTCGACCTTGAAAACCCTTTTCAAGAAACTATTTTGTCTTTGACCCATCAGGAGAGACTTTGTGAGCATTGGTCATAGATCATGTGACTTTGCCCATCCTGCATGGAAAGGTTTCCTGACAATGTCGCCTGACATTTGAAGAAACTAGTTTCTGGGAACCTGGTTTCTCGTGCGTGCCACGCTTTTAAATTTATTTTCGAATGCAGATCTCGATCACAAAAGAGAAAAATATGCAAAACAATGACGCTTGTGTCGCAATGCATCACAGATGCTGAGTGTGGTGATTTTATTGTTGCAATTGCCTGTGCTTGTGCCCTGCTTGCGCGGCACTGCCAAGGCAGTCCCCATGATGGTTGTTGTTTAATCGGTGCTGGTTTTTGGTTGCTTCCCATATGGGCCCAGGCTGACGACAAGGAGAGCTGGGTGGCGCTGTTCTCGCGATTCTGCAGTCGCACGGTCAACGAGCAGGAGGAGGTCGCGCACAAACTGCTGGGGAAGCGATTCCAGGTGAGCAGTGGTTGTGGTGTTGGTGGCAGGAGTGGCAGGTGAACATTTTATTAATGGACCAGGTAGTACGGTACCAGGTTACTCTGGAAATCCATCCACTGGCTCACTCGCTAACCTGGACGTGACCATGCGTTGGGCAATTCCTCACCGTATGAAAGTAGAAAAATATTTTATCGTTCTGCCCGCAAACAGCAAAGTTCCATGGGGACGTTTAAAAATGTGTCTGCTATGTTGACTGCATTCTCCTCTTATGTGCGTATGTATCTTGAAATATCGGAAGAGCGTTCCAGACGGCCACAGAAGCGCGCCTGAAGGCGCTCGATGCGGTGGCCGTCTTTGTTTGGTGCCTAGCCAAAAGCCACTGCTGTGAGGATGACCACTGGAGTTCGCGTGATGGCTCATGCTCCTTGACGAGATCGGCAAGGTGTCGTGGCACGGAAGGACATGGAGGTACACCGAGGGACAATGTTAAACCTCACTTCCCCTCTCATCCTCCACCGCTCCTTCTCCCCCACCCCGCCTCTCAGGATCAGCTGGAGCTGCTGCGAGAGCTGCTGGCCGAAGCGCTCTTCGAGGAGAGTCTTGCGCAGGCAAGACGCTCCGCGCCACGCTTCACCCACGATTCACTGGGCGACGACCCTTCCTGCTCTACAATAAATCATCATCATCACCACCATCATTGGCCATGATCAATCAACTGTTGGATGATGGCCTATCCAAGCCGTCGCAAATCTCTCAAGTCTCGTGGTGCAATAATCCATCTAACACCGGCACACAGCTTTTTGTGTTTAGTTTGTTATCCTTCCCCCGCACCTCGGATCAGCACAATTGGCTCCGCTCGGTGCGAAAGAAGTTCAACATACACCATACATACACGAGCAAATTCCATTGTGATGATCTCGTGCGGTGAACGTCCACTCCTGGCACGTTCCAGAATCAGAAGCGTTATTTTATCCTGGAGAAATCCGATGAGCTAGATGTCTAGTTCCCTGGCCATCCGTCGTTATTCTCGACCTCCGGCTATCGTCCCTTCTAACCGTGACGTGTCCTGCCCAAGGCCACTGACCGGCCAATACAATGTCTCTAACTAGGTGTACGTCCTCTAGTCCACACGGTCCTCTTGCCGTCCCCTTACTTGCAGTGTGGATTGACCATGGCTCATGATGATATAGGATGATGATGATGATGCTGCCACGTAGGTTTACTTACAGTTTGCAATATGAACGTTCGGTTGTTATGTAATTGATGAAGTTTCCATTGTGACCTCTTTTGCAGTGGTTCACTCCGGAAGGGTTCAGATCGCTGTTTGCCTTGGTCGGCACCAACGGGCAGGGGATCGGAACCAGGTACGGACGTGCTGTGACGCGTGAACACCCACTGCACAACGACCCCTGCGAGTTACCCATTGCATCGCCAATTAACACGGTTGGCTACGGTACAGTGTGAACGAAGTTTATGCATGCATGCATGCATTGAGTAAAGTTCACCCTCGAGGAGTCTTTGAGTTGCAGATCAACCCTGCTTGCAAAATATGAAGAAAATCTATATTTATTAACGGCTCCTCGCTTGTCGAGGGTCAGCGACAAAGTGCCCAGCTGACCGCGAACACGGCGGCAAGAGGACATGACAAACTGTGCGCCTCATCCAGCAGTGGATTGGCAAAAGGCTGTGTGCGTGTACCCTCGAGGAACGTTGGCATGATCGTCACCAGCATGTGTCTAGCACCTGGAGATGGCGTCTTCCAGTCGGATCACAGATGTAGGGCCCATGATTACCCAAATGTTCTTTACTCTGTAGATCAATCATTGACTGAATTGGGCTACCATCACTTTATTGTGCCATTGTTGTACCAAGTTGCCACAGAAGATTTAACACCGAGGCTTTTGCGACCAACGTTACGATTAGCCTCCGCGGCTGCCTGTCTGCCCGCGTGCGTGCGTGTGCGTGTGCACACCGCGCTACAAACCAGGCGGCCCAAGTTCAATTCCCGGCCACAGCTAACGTCACTGGCGAGTGACGTCTAACCCGGTTCATGACCTCTCTTACGCACACTCGGCCTCAAATTATTACCTGGTGGGGTGTGTTGATATCGGCACTGGGTGGACGTTGTGTCTATAGTGGGTATGGTGCTGGCTACGCCACCCACTAACACGCACCATCTCTCCCATCGTCTCTTCCCATTTCCTAAGTTCTTATAACCTTGCTCAATTCATTATCAATTATAACTTTAAGTGTGCTGCTTGTTGCCGATCACTTTGCATTTTGCAAATTTGGGGCCCTGTGCTCGCCAACTGTGTTTAAAGACAATAAAACTGCCGTGCCGACCTTGTTACGTACTCGCGAAGAATCCGAATATTTATTGATACTGGAAGAATCCGATGAGCTGTAAAGCTCTTTTTCACACATGTCCAGTATAGGCGGATCGAAACGTTACAACAACAATACAAAAACATGACACTAGTGCAGAGTATAGGAAAGGTAAACAAATAGCTTTAAAAACAAAACAAAAAAACGTATCTTACCAGATGAAGCCCAACAGAGGTATTACCTGGCCACAAATGATAGCTCAACAAAGTGGCTTATCATGTGGAAATGTATAGAAGCAAAATAATCTAAACGCACGTTTCTAAATGTGGAGGGAAACACCGGAGGACCCGGACAAAAAAAATCTACACGACCACGGGGAGAAGATGCAAGAGAACTCGCCCCGATGGTCCGGTAGAGGCTACCTGGGAGATCTTAATATATATGTGTGTGTGTGTGTGCGTCTGCCACACATGGGAAGCAGTAGTGTAGCGGTCAGCGCGCCGCACTACAAACCCGGCAACCCGAGTTAAATTCTCGCTTCATGGCCAAAACCGGTGATGGCGGTCGGGCATGGTGCTTGCCACCCACTCCCTGGTGTACCGTGCCGGCCTTCATAGGTGCTCGCCAACAGCACTTGCCTCCAACAGTCTGTTAAGGCTGCATGGGGGATCCTTTGTCTTCACTTGCCACAGCTCGCTGAGCCAGTGGGTTCATGCGTGCGACGACCTGGAGCTCCCCGCGGAGCAGCGCGAGCATCTCGACTTCTTCATCGAGCAGCTCTACCGGGACATCGACAACGGTGAGCAATAAGCGATTAGTCAGTTTAACACGTAGGCTTTGATGACCAATATCCATAAGAGGTTTTTTTTTTGGGTTAGATCGCGTAAATATATAAATGTCGTTAAAACCCGCCACCACCCGACACAGCCAACTAGTAAGGGTTGTCACGTAAACAGGACGTGGCTAATTCGTCACTAGTACAGCATCACCGGTGTGTTGGAGAGCAAAGCCACAACATTTACAATCTGAGTACGACGTTTCGCCAGTAATTACAACCAGCTTCATCCGGCGACAGCCATAATTGTGAAGAAGTTCACCTGTTATGTTCCTTATAAAGAGGCTTAGATGTGGTGACCACGCTTCTGCGCTCTTGCGCGAAGTGGGGGGCGGGGTTGATCGAATGAGTCAACGTACATTATGCATGCGCATCATGCGAGCCCTTTGATCTTGTCCTTCCTGTCCATTGTATGTACAGTATTAAAATAGCCGTACCAACGGTAAAATCCCTATTGAAGTAATGGTGGCCTGTATAGGCATGCATTTAAACAATGTATTATTTGATGATTCGCTTCCTCGCAGCACTAAGTCGGTAGCTATCCGAACAGTTACAATTATTTATTTTTTCTTAAAAAAAAAACCTTATGAATAAGCAATTAAATAATTGGGCAAAAATAAAGCCAGCCCAGCAGAGCCAGGTTCAGCCTGTCCGGATCAGGGGTGGTTGCGGCGTTGACCTAACTGTGCCCCCTGCACGGAGTAAATTCTCTCGTTGCAGTTTTAATCATCATGGAGGAACAGTGGTGCAGCGGTTAGCGTACTGTACTCCGAACCCAGCGACCCGAGTTTGATTCGTGGGCACGGCGAGGTAACATTGGTGGCCCTGGAATATCCAGGAATGTGGAGCGGACGTGGAGATGATGGCCCAGGGACATGCTTGAGTACAGATTGACGGCCCCCCAGGAAGACAGAGCCCGCAACAACACGAGAGTGAAAATCCCGTGGGAATGTTGACGAGCGTGAATTTGAGGAAGCCGTTTGTCTTGTGTCGCTGCAGTGTCCGGGGACTTCTTGAACTGCGAAGGTTCGGGCCTCTACGTCCGGCAGAGCTGCTGTGAGTAGCGGACTCTCCCGAGCGGTTTCCCCGGCAGACACCGATCCGCGTCGCATTGTCGCCGATCATTGCGGTGCTTCCACTCGGCGGCCGATTCTTTTTGTTAGTTTCTCAGTTTTTGACATCTCGTCAGTAGTATTGCTGTTTTAACCCTCTCTAGTGCGTACGGATTTCTTAAACTCTGTTCGCCCAATTGTAATAATTTGCTTGGAAGCGGCGTGAAGCATAACACGCACATCGCGAGCACGAGAGTCGACGTCGCAGGAACAGGTCAGATTTTACTCACCACCGACGTCAGCCGTGGCCGGGAATCGACACTCGCCGATGGGGGAGAGTGGAGCGGTGGCGCAACGGTTAGCGCGCCGCGCTATGAACTCGCCGATCCCAGTTTGAATCCCGATCACAGCGAACATGAGTGGTGAATAATATCCGAACAGGTCCTCTACTCCCCTCCACCCTTGACCAACCCGCATTGACTAACATGGTGAAGTGACCGATACAATGTGTGGAGGAGTTTATCTTTTAGTACATTGACTTAGGGATGTAAGTAAAACATTTTAAACAATAAACTCAAATCATGCCTCGTGAGCAACTGCAGCCATTGGCGAACTCGACGCATCGTGACACTAAAATAATAATTACAAATACACCCAGAGGAGCACATTGAGGCTGAAGACTCTTTTTCTGGAGGGTTCTGCATTGGCATGTTTGGCCAACACCAGTTACATTTTATGTTTTTGTTAGCTATGGAAGACGGAAACCAGGAAACCCCAAGCACCACAGGGGGGAAACAACATGCAGACTTTTTGATTTAAAGCTTTCGTGACTGCAAGGATTCATCTTCTTTGGTTCTTTCGGTAAAGTCATGTAGAATGAGAATAAAATAATAAAATAAAACAATAAAATTCCCACGACGTTTCAGCCACAACACAAGTGGCCTTCAGGTGAAAGGAACAAACCTGTCGGGACGACAGAGCTACAATGTAGCTACATTGTAGGGACGACAGAGCTACAATGTAGCTACATTATAGCTCTGTCGTCCCGACAGGTTTGTTCCTTTCACCTGAAGAAGGCCACTTGTGTTGTGGCCGAAACGTCGTGAGAATTTTATTGTATTATTTTATTCTCATGCTACGTGACTTTACCGAAAGAACCAAAGAAGAAAAAACATGCAGACTCCACACAGGGAGGCACCCGAGTCAGAAATCAAACCCAGGTCCTTCTTGCTGCGGGGCAGCTCGTTAGATTCCATACCGACGGACGCTACGAGCTGGTACCCCCCCCAACCCAGTTTAATCCCCCTACTCCCTCTCCCCCCAAACCCTCCCCCGTGCCAGGTAACCATAGCTGTGTGCCCAACGCGGAGGCCACTTTCCCCGATAACGACTTCACACTCCACCTCACGGCGCTGAGCGACATCGAGCCTGGGGAGGTGAGTACGGCGGGGGGACGGAGGGGGCAGGGAACAGGGAGGATCCGCCTTGGACGTTTCGCCACGTTGGTTGGTGCGGGCTAGAGGAGGGAAGCATAGACATGGGAGCATAGTGCAATACAACAATATATAGCATGGCACTGCTGCTCACAACAAAGCCCTTCTGCAGCCTGCAACACCTGCTGTACGTATGGTGATCGCCCATCCAAGCACTGTCCAGCCTCAACCCTGCTGAGCTGTTGGCGTCCGAAGAGATGCAGTGTGTTCCACCACGCGAGTTGGCCCTAGGCTGCAAGCTCTCGCTGCCTGTGAAGAGTGCTCGGAATGATGCCCATAACTCCTTCTTCATGTGCGATTAAGGCGCAGGGGTACTGCTTGAGGCTCGGGGTGAACTTATGGGCCGCCCACCGAGCGACGCGTGGGGGTTAAGACTGTGACCCCCTGTGGCCCGGCAGGAGATCTGCATCAGCTACCTGGAGGGCTGCCAGCGCAAGCGCAGCCGACACAGCCGACAGAAGATCCTGCGGTGAGAACCGCGGACGCCCTCGGACCCATCGGATTCATTGACAGGGAGGCCAAGCTCTCACGGTCATTGTCCGAAATGAAACCTATTTAAAACTAAACCATTTTTTTTATTTAACCAGGTAAGACCCCCACTGAGCTATACAGCTCTTTTTTCAGAAGCGACCTGGTCACAAAAATGATAGCTCAACGAAGTGGGAGATCACTTGAAAATGTATGAATCCAACTGAATGCGACATATTGATAGCTGCTGCTGGTGGTGATGTTGAGAGTTGTAAATGGGGGTGCTTACGTGGGGGGTGGGTTTGTGCCCATTTGTTTTGGTGTCGGAGGGTGGAAGTTGCTACTCTCCAGACGTGCATATTCTTTTTGTGCGTTCCTCGTCTCCAGGGACAACTACTTGTTCACCTGCGCGTGCCCCAAGTGCCTAGCTCAGGCCGGAGATCCGGATGAGACCTCCGATGAGGATGAGGACGAGGAGGACGACGAGAACGATGACGAGAACGAGGCCGACGGCGAAATGACCGACATCTGACACGGCGGCGCCAAGCGCCGTCTTAAATCCCGCGAGCCGGTGACACAACAGAACTCATTGGCAACGCTCCCGACGATGCGGATGTCGTCCCATAGCTCCACCCCTCGCTCGGACCGCCGGTCGCTTGCAACCCCGGAAACAGCACGTGGGAGTGTTTTTGTATTCCATATTTTGTTGCATGCTGCTCGCTCTCGTGCTCTCATTCCGGCTCGGGCCAACTCTTCGCACTGCATTTCATGGTTGTGAAAAGTAATTGGCGCATGCCTGCTTGCCCCTCCCCCCCCATCGCAGTCGTTAATAAACGAGACCTGAATGCAAGTGTGGCTTCTTGACATGTTTTTAATGAACAGATAATGCAAAGTCGGATGCTCATTTTTTCAAAAGGGATGTATAAAATATTTCACTGAAATGGGGCATTTGACCAACATTTTGTGGGCATCTCAAAATGTTCTATTCGCCTGAGCAGACGCTTTAACTAGGGCTGCCGCGATTTCATTTTTGCAAGATACGATAATCGAGGTCAGTTTTCCCTTCCGCTGTGGTTGCAATTCGCGTTTTTATGCGTTAATGGACTTCCAGGAGGAACGATGACTAATCCGTTCAACTGCATTTTTCACTCGACACAAGCTGCCACAAATCTTCCAATCGGCGTCACTCCGCGGCCTAAAGCTCAACTGGCGGTGTTACGCAGGAAACGATCGACGAATCAAATGGACTACGGAAGCGATGTCGTATAGCCAGCATGCAATGAAACTCCGGAAAAGGTTTGACAAGGCATGATGTAAATGCGTAACAGCTATGTTTTAGAACTTTAATTATTGATATCTTTAATTTATTGCAATTTCGTAAATGTTCTCGTAAAAGTAGTTATTAAACATAAGACGAGCGGCGACAATCGCGATATTTTGCAAGACGGATCTGGTTATCGCAGCTCTTATTATATGACGTGGCGTACCATCTCCACATCGCGGGACCTCCTGCTCAATGCCAAATATTTGAAACAAGTTAAGGATAAAGGGGGGAGGGGGGGAGGTGGTGCCAGTGTGTGGTGTTAGGTGTGCATCTTGTGTTCTTTTGTGATGTATGTGTATTTACGTGTGCAGTATTTCAAAATATCGCTGTGCATTGTTTGAGTGTTTTGTGTATCGGTGTGTGGTGCTTGCTAACAGCACATGCCCCAAATGTCTGTTAAGGCTATATGGGGGATCTGTCTTTTTTGCTGTTTGGGGGCGGTGGCGCAGTGGTTAGTATACTGCACTTCAAAGTCGGCGACCCGAGTTCGATGCCGGCTCATGAACAATAAGTGAATATCTGAACCGGTCCTGGGCCTCCCCTAGGTCGACTCAGCCTCAAGTGGGTACCTGATGGGATGTCTAAACATCGCCACTCGGGAGACAAAGGAAGCCACCCACCCTCTAGTGTGCCGTGCCGGCCTTCATAGATGCTCGCTAACAGCACTTGCCCCAAGTCTATTAAGACTATATGGGGATCTGTCTTGTCGTGTTTTGTGAATTTGCGTGTATGCCACTGCATACGTTTGATGGATGTGATGTGGATATATTGCATATGTATTTGCACGTGTCTTTGTCCTTTTTTAGTTTAAATATTTCACCTGGAAAATCTTTTAGATGGAACATATCATATGTAATGGTGTCCTGGGTTGTCAACCCACACGCAACACGTCAGGACATGTTAACTTGTACGTCTCACTATGCGTGTGTGTGATACTATTTACATGTTTTAAGTGTATATTTACCTTTGTTACGTGTGGTGTTTTGCAAACGTGAATGTTTGCATTGGTGTATAGGTGCGTGTGTGTGTGTACGCACATTGTCAGTGCATCGCACTTTTGGATGCGGTTTTGGGGCCGTCTGGAACGCTCTTCCTTCTGATTAGGAAGCCACTGGAGCTATGCACTTTGAAATCTAGATTGAAAACTAATTTCTTTAGAACTGCTTTCTGTGTTTAGTTTTTAGCCCATCCCACGCACCTCCGATTAGCATGGTTGGCTCCTTACGGTGCGAAAGAAGTTCAACATACACCCATACATGTGTGTTTTCGCCTTTGTGTTCATGTTTACTATCATTTGGTTCACCCATCTAGCAGCCGGCCTAAATATTGAGAGACAAAATAAATCCTGATCATCCGTAATAATTGGTTCTTAATCCCACAGCATTCAGACGAGAATGTGTTGGCAGTACGTGCCCATTGGTCCATTAACCCCCTGGCACAAAGCACCAATGTTGTTGTAGACAACCATGAAAGCTGTTATTGCTCATTCTTGATCTGTAAATAACGCCCGTTCATATAGGTCAGATATGCAGAACGCGCACGCGCCACACAGATAACCTGGTGTCGGGTCGCGCAGTAAACGTCATAATTTACAATAAAGACTTGCAGCACTGTCGGACTGCACAAGCCGCTTCACATCATAGGAAGTCGCTGGGCGTTTTTGAGACGGCAAGTTTTCGGGTTCAAGAGGAAACCCTCTCTCTTTGCTTTGCCCAATGGGACAAACAAACAAAAATAAATCGGACATCACCATCAACGCAACGGGCTGTGCTTTACATAAAAATAAAAACATACAAATACAAGATTAACCCGTAACACGTTTGATTCCCTGCAGCAACCGTCAGTAGAATGTAACAGTTCAAAATACGTCTTCGTCCCCACCCTCCTCTTCGTGAAAACATTCAACGATGGCGGGTCGATTGCCGGGCGTTCGCTGCCCCACCACGGCAGTGCCAGGAGAGCCGTGGGCGACGGTGGACGTCGCGCCGTTCACACCGTGACGGAGGGGCCGTGGCGGTGCGCCGCGACCCAGTCTTCAGGCGGGAGCCACACGAGGCCGTTGCCCTGGGGCGCGTGGCCGGAGGGCAGCAGCACGCGCGTCAGCCAGTGCCTGGGGCAGGGAACGGCGGTGGGGGGAGAGGTGGCAGAGGTCGCGCGCGTGAAGACATGCGGTGGCGTGAGACGAAGTGGCGTACATGTCGTGCACAAGTAAGCTGGTCTCCATTGCACCGATCGCAATTGAATGTTTGGTTCCGAATGCGAGGGACAATGGTGTTGAGAGTTTTGTTTACGTATGCGGTGTATTGTGCTGTGACCAAGGTCTCCCTTGAAGAGCCTTTTGGTTTCACGACGATGATATGCAGGGTGAGTTGGGGCAGCGGTGGAACATTGGATGTAGCACTGTGTTATGAATCTGGAGACCTGAGTTTGATTCCTGACGAATGCTAACAATCAGTGGAGAGTGATATCTAAATGAGTCCTAGAACAGCCACCTTCACCAACCTGCATTGACCAGGGTGGTGAAGTATGGCCAACATAACATGGGGAGCCCTTCAGGACACCAATTGATTGACAACAGGGCCTGCAAATGATTCCCGTTATGACTCCTCACGGCGAGGAGTTCTACACACAGGTCACACAAGACGCGAGTGTCACGTCTCAAAGAAATGACGCGTAAGATAAGTATGACAACAACACGAGCGGCCAGACGACAATCCGCGTACAGGAGAGCCACCCCCACCTGCGACGAGAGTACGAATATCATGACATTCAAACACACTACTGTACTCGGATATGGGGCGCCATGGTGTCGAGATATTAACTACCTCGCCTGGTATACAGGAGGTTGTGGGTTCGATCCCAACCCTGACGCCTTCTGTATATTTGGAGTTTCATGTCTCTCTCCCCGTGGCCGCATGTATTTATTTTCTCCGGGTCCTCCGGTTTTCCCTCCACATTTAGAAACGTGCATTTAAGAGTATTTGGCTGCTATAAATGTCCACGTGATAAGCAACTTCAATGAGCTATCAGTTGTGGCCAAACGTCTGAAAAAGAGCCATGTGGCTCAGTGGGCCTTGCCTGGTAAAATAAAAAGTTTAGTTTAGCTTGTAATATTCACACCCTATGACAGGGGTATATAAAATATTAGAATGAGATTCAAAATATGACATTCGTACCAACTAAAGTACCTACCCGCGTTCAACACCTGCACAATTTATGGACGGACGGAGGCGAATGGGACGCACTGTTCTGCCCGGACGTACCTTCTGTGTTTGACGCCGAAAAACTGCTTCCAGTTGCTCAGAGATCCGAAATGGTAGGGGTTTTTAAAAACCTGCGGGAACACACGTGCGATCATCGACGGGAGGTGAGCCGTCTTAAGTACCGAAGCGTCCGCCACTAAGGAGCACGTCAAAGTTTGCAAATCTCTAATAAATGTTGCACATATATCCACAGGATAAAGCGTGAAGCAGCGTATTGTTTCTGCTGTGCTGGAATTTCTTCCAAGATAACTTTGGTGGAACAGTATAATTTATACAACGGTGCCCCAGGCCAACAAATGTAAAGGTTCAAGGCCCATAGTAGCTGTTGATCTTTTAGCAAAGTGGCAGAGTCCAAATGCGATTGCAGAAATATTAACATTAGGGTTGAACAATATAAAGTCACGTAGATATGTGACTTTACCGAAAGACCCAATAATATCATTCTTTAAATGAATTTTTCACTCATCTCGTGGCCAGAGCAAATCCAACTGAACCAAAGCAGAAAATAAACACCGGTACAGTACACACATACCCACACGTACACTGGTACACACCTACTGGAACTCGCACAAACAATATATAACGACAATAGCCACCGTGACATCACGGCGCTTGTGCCAGGCTAGGTGCACTTTTCTTGTAAAAAGATTTCAGTTTTATTGCCAGAAAAAAGGGGGGGAAAACCTATTATTACATTTTGGTACTGGCAAAAGAGGCATCATGATGTAAATGCTTACCCCGAGCCCTCATTACTCCGATAGTGTGTTGTCTTTGAGTTGTGCGCCTTTTGGCGTCATCTGGTCGAACACCGTATGAGACTAGGCTCTAAGGAAAGCTGTCTCTGGTGTGGACCAATCAATTTCAAGGACAATGCATACATTATCAGTGTGTTTTTTGTTTGCATTCTGACGGCAGGTATTGTGGTTAATGTAAACAATTCCTTGTAAAAAGGTTTCAGTTTTGTTGCCAGAAAAAAATGGGAAAAAACCTATTATTATGCTCCGTATAGCCTTAACAGACTGTTGAGGCAAGTGCTGTTAGCGAGCACCAATGAAGGCCGACACGGCAGCACCACACCCGGCTGCCTTTGTCTCCCCAGTGGCGATGTTTACACACCGCACCAGGCTCAGTCGACCTACTGGAGGCCCAGGACTGGTTCGGAAAATCGTCACTGGTGCTGGCCGTGAGTGGGAATCGAACTCGGGTCGCTGGGTTTCATATGCATGTGCTCACTCGCGCATGTGTACATACAGTCGTACTGGTGGCTCATTTCTGTGACTCGCACCTTCCCTTTCTTGTGGAGGCGCGCGCGCTCCTTGCGGTTGATGTGGCGCTCGACGCTCGTCTCCCCGCGCGAGATGAGCGCCGCGTGCCACAGCGTGAGCGCCCCCAGCACCACCGACACCGTGCTGCCCCCACGCAATGCACAGCAGCGGACACAACACCCGCAGCGATTCGCAAAAACGACAAGGATTGCTATCGACGCAGCGGCGGCAAAAGCAGTTAGCGCGCTGCGCTACGGACCCCACGACGCGAGATCGAGTCACAGGCACGGCCGACTACAAAACCTATCCCAAGCCTCCCCTAGGTGGCGAGATATTAACTACATCGCCCGGTATACAGGAGGTCGTTGGTTCGATCCCGAATGATGCCTCTATATTTTGAGTTTGCATGTCTCTCTCCCCGCGGTCGAGTGGATTCTTCTCAGGGTCCTCCAGTTTTTCCCCTCCACATTTAGAATCAACATGCATTTTGAGTATTTGGCTGCTATAAGTTTCTACGCGATAAGCCACTTTGTGATGTCCCAGGTTGCTTCTGAAAAAAAGAGCTGTATAGCTCAGTGGAACTTACCTGGTAAAATTAAAAGTTCAGTTTTTAGTTTTAGGTTAATTCAGCCTGAAATTAGTACCTGCTGCGGTGCGCGTGAACATCGGCACTGGGGAGACAAAGGGTGGCCGGGTGCGGTGGTGGTCACACCACCGCATCTCGTGCACCATACTTGCCCCTATAGGTGCTCATTTAACCCTTTGTCGTTCCGAGACTGCTGCAAGCCGCAGGGTGCGAGTCCCGTTCACCTCGGAATCTCGGAACGCGCAAGCGGCTCGGCGTTAATTTTATTTAGAGGCATAGCGGCGTTGTTTTTCAAGGCACTCACCGCAGAGAACTATAGCGACATGACCGAACTCCACAATAGCTGGCGCCAAACTGTACCACGGCATGGCCTTGTGGAAGCCTCGGTACCGATAAAGTAATTTTATTCCGTTTTTTGTTTTTATTCTGGTTTTGTTTTGCTGATGTTGCATGTACGTCATCGGAATGGAATCGGAAGAAAAACTGGTGATGTTCACGTCATCGGAATGGGAAAGGGGTCAACAGAACTCGCCCCAACCATACCATTACGGGCCACACAAGGGACGTGTGTGAGTGGGCCACCTGGTGAGGACCCACACGAAGACGATGCTGTTGTGAACGTGGTCCTCACGCTTCTCGGGCTCAGCCGTGGTGGACGCCGGGGAGAGAAGCTTGAGGGGCGAGTGGCTCGGAGCGACCTGCCGGAAAAATCGGGGGATGGGGAATCAAGCAGGCGTCCCACGTCGTGTACACGTGCACACGTACAGCCGCTGACTGACACGTAGGGTGAGGAGTTGTTCGATCCGACTTGAATGTATGCATGTTGAACTTCTTTCGCACCGTACGTAGCCAACCGTGCTAATCGGAGGTGCGGGGAAGGACAACAAACTAAACACAAAAAGCAGGTCTAAAGAAATCGGTTTTCACTCACGCCGGTCAGTGCGGGTCAGTGAAGCCGAATGGCGGAACATATCAGACGCAGAAATGGAAGGTGCAACAATGGGTTTTTGCTGCACTGTCCCCAGCTGACAACAATTTTCCTGCAGCAGCTCACGACACCTGTTCTATGCACGGTGGTTGCTCATCCAAGCGCTAGCCAGGCTCATCCACGCTCAGCCTAAGACCTGAAAATGAGGTAGAGGACATATTGCAAGCGATTTGGTAACAGGCGACTTCAGTACCCGGAGAAATGAACACACAAAAGCGAATACCATTCAAAGGTAAGCGTCATTGCCCGGTGGATGTTGGGAGTTTCACAAATCTCTGTGTTCCAGAATCTGAATCTCTTTATCCTGGAGGAATCCGATGGGCCATGAAGCTCTTTAACACAAATGTCCAGTAGGGGCGGGTCAGAAGCGCTACAAGAGATCCAGCTACCCTCAGTTCGAAAGTGCGTCATCACAGGCGCGTAACACAACGCACCAAATTTCCGCATATTGTTGTTGGTGGCTATTGTTGTTGCTGCTGTGGGAGTTGGTGCGTAATGGCAGTGGTGGGGGGGGGGGGGGGGAGGGGGGCGGAAGGGGGAGCCGCCGAGCGACCCACCTGCGAGGGCGCGTGTGTGCGGAAGTACGTGCGGCTGAGCGTGATGCTTGTGAAGGCACAGCCCATGGACATGTAGAGGCAGAAGGAGAAGAAGTAGCGGTGGTTGTAGTTTCCGACGCAGTTGTTGAGCCAGGCTGGCAGACAGGGCCGTTAAGGAGACCTCCGAGAAAGTGACAGCCCACCTCTTTTCTCATTTAAAGAAACTTACAATAGCGTTTTTGTTTCCAAATATTTAATCCCGATTGTGCTATCAGTGTCGTGTCATCTCTCGCAGAGCAGCGCGACCCTTCGTGTCTGAGAACAACCCATGGAAGTGGATATCACAGAGCTGCCTCTGAGATCCATTCAAGTGTCCTCTGGTCCACACATTAGTGTAGGGCAGCACTTCTCACTCGCTTTAAATATGACGTTGAGGTTTGGCACATGCCAGTAAAACTGATATTTCGAATATGGAATGCATCCATATGAAAATGCATAACCAAATGTATTGTGATGTTTTAATTTTTACAATCATGGGTGGCTGGGCTAAGACTGTCAACTCACTAGACTTGGGGAATGGTTTTAATCACAGGCGGCTGCCTGGATTCGAACCCACGTGCTCAGCGTTGCCAGTCCAGCGGCCTGACCTCTGAGCCACCTGGCCACCTGCCCCTCCCCATCTCCTGTAATGGACACGTTTTTTTGTTACATACGCTTCAAAATCTCATTACCCTTTAATCAGAGTGTTAGCATCACAAGCAACATCTCAATCGAGGAATCTGCAATTGTTCTGAAATATGATGCAAGGAACAATTGTGAGGGTTGGTTGTTATTTTTCACTTGCGGTGTAATTAATGGATGATTACAGATTAAAATATATCCAAATGGATCCAGAGCCCCCAGTGCGAACACGTCAGGATACGGCAGTGATGATCCATCTTCAGAATGCACCTGTAATCGAGAGGAAACGATCAAATGAACACGCTGGCGTTTGTCTAAACACAAGACAAAAATGAAAATGGGTCGTATGTAAAATATCGGAGGGCCAAATCGGACTTCCGATATTTTACAAAACGGACTTTGAAATACAAAGACGCGTCACATTAAAATGCACATCAGTCACCTCAATTTGTCAGTGGTGCAGAAGCACAAATAACAATGACACTGCCTAAAAAGAGCAAATATTTAATAGGCGATGTTTGAGGCAATGGCCCTTATTCACAGGACATGGAGAGGCCAGCCAGTGACACAAGTGACTTGCCAGATTAGCGCAGCTAGGATATTTGCAGTGAGTAATATTTATTCAGGCTGTTCTAACCGTGGGCCATATGAAATGAAGGCACAGTCCACATATGGCCTGCGGGTCGCAGGATCCCCACCACTGGTGCAGGACAACGCCAACGGCAGGAAGTTCACGCACTCCTGCCCAGCCCGCAGCTCGATAAAGCTCCCCCCCTCACCTCCCGTCCCCACCCCGCCCTCACCCCTGGCCACCGCACCTGTTGCAGATGCTGCAGTGGTGCGTACGCGGAGGCTTGGGAGCGATGCACCGCTTGCAGATGGACACGGCCGGCAAGTCCACTTGGCCCTGCGAGCCGGTACAATGAGCGAGCGACGTCAACCGCACACGCCTCGCCGTGCACGCCGCAGAGAACTGCCCCCCCCTTAGGCCGCAGCAGTTTCATGGATTTGGGGGCCAGGCTGACGAGATGTTAACTACCTCGGCTGGTATGCAGGAGGTCGTGGGCTCAATCCCAATCCTGATCCCTGTAGATTTTAGAGTTTGCGTGTTCTCCCCGTGGTTGCGTGGATTTTTCTCCGGGTCCTCCGGTTTTCCTTCCACATTTAGAAACGCGCGTTTAGAGCATTTGGCTGCTATAAATTTCCACTCGATAAGCCACTTCCTTGAGCTATCATTTGTGACCAGGCCGTTTCTGAAAAAGAGCTATATAGGTCAGTGGGTCCTATCTGGTTAAATCCAAAAAATAGTTTTATAGTAGTTTAGTACACTGGGGAATATGAGCATTACCGGGTTGCCACGTTTGTTTGTTTAATAAGTTTTTGAGTCAGTTGGCCAGGATTGCGCAAAACATAGCCCACTTTTCACCCAGGCAACAAGGCAGCACAGGCTAAGTGTTTCTGACATAACATTAAGACGAGCAATAACACAATTAAGAATCACAGTTAAGAGACAAACATTGATACTCTATATAAAAAAAAGTAACGATTGTGGAGTACCAGTTATTAGGTTAATGGCGATGGCTATGGTTATTCAGTGCCATTATCAGGTAAAAGAGAACAGGTTGTGGTTGTGTATGTTGATCATTTAGTGTTAGTTGGTAAAGGTGCATCCGCTCCAAAGCCTCCGGATACAGGAGCGGTTCAGATATCACTCGGCACTGGTGTTAGCCGTGGCCAAGAGTCAAACTCAGATTGCTGGGTTCATATCGCACCGTGCCACTGTATCATCCATCACTACTTTACATGCAAATATAATCGCTTGTGAAGGACTCTTTGCTGGAATGGAACACATTTTACGAAAAGGAAATGTGTCCAATTGGTCGTTTACCAAGGCGATGGGAGTGCTGAAATCAGCTCAGGTGCAGGTCGTGGTTCGATGATATTATTACATCACAGCATCGTGAGAGATAGTGGCGGCTTAGGGAGGGCTTGTATCTATGCTGAACTTCTTTCCCAACATATGTAGCCAACCATGCGAATCAGAGGTGTGGGGGAAGGACAACTAAACACAAAAAGCTATTCTAAAGAAATTAAATCTTGATTTGAAGCTTTCGTGACTGCAGGGATCCATACTCTTTGGTTCTTTCGGTAAAGTCACGTAGGTAGAAAAAATAATAGATCTCCCACTGATTCCTCATCATGATCGCCTTTTACTACTACAAGGGTCTCACAACATCGCCCGGGTACCTGCCGCCGGTAAGCCCATAACAACATATAATAGATCTATTATTTTTCTATCTACGTGACTTTACCGAAAGAACAAAGACTAAAGAAAGTCGTTTTCAATCTAGAATTAAAAGGCTTCATTCAGCAGTAGATTGGCCATGGCTGATGATGATCTCCATAGAGCAAGCGCTGTTAGCAAGCATGTATGAAGGCTGGCCGGCACGGCACACAAGGGGGTTTTGGTGATGTTGTTTGCTCGTTATGGACTTACCGGCGGCGGGTACCCGGGCGATGTTGTGAGACCCTTGTAGTAGTGAAAGACGATCATGATGAGGAACCAGTTGGAGACAAGGATGAGAGCGGCGCTCACCGCTGGGCCATACTCGGCCAGGATGGCGGGCAGCACGCACACGTAGCCCACGACCACCACGCACGATGTGAGCCCTACCACCAGCGCTACAAAGACCTACACACAGGCAAGAACAAAGATCCCACCGGATAGCCTTTAACTGACTATTGAGGGAAGTGTTGTTAGCGAGCACTGATACACACAAACGTACCGTACTCACATACAAAAAGAACAGCCCATTAACAGTGTCGGCTACATCACCACGGTGCCTGTGCCAGGCTAGGTGCACTCTTAGGCCACATGCAGGTGTTGAAGGCTCGCTAACAGGTCACAGGACATATCTACACAAACAATGACGTAGCACACAACCACCAAAAACGCCTATAAAAGTTAAGATCCCTTGTGTAAAGCCTTTAAGAGATCGTTGCAGAAAAGTGCTGTTAGCGAGCACCAGTTAAGGTCAGCATGGTGTATGAGAGGGTGGTGTAGCCAGTCCCATGCCCAGCTGTTGATGTTAACACACTGCACCAGGTAATTACTTATGGCTAAATCAACTGGGGAAGGCCAAAGACAGGTTTTATATTTCGGTACCACTCGACACTGTTATGCATGGTAGTCACCCATTAAAATACTATTCCAAGTTCAACTCCGCTGAGCTTCCGAGGTCTGATGAAATCGGATGCATTCCGGCTGATATAGATCATAGGTGACTCTGCATTATTATCACGATAATAATTCCAATCAATGGATGGGATGGATCACTGAACATTCCTGGGGGCGACAGTTATGACGACGCGTCCAACCATGCCCTCGTCTCCCCCGCAACCTAGACACGCGAGCTCGCCCCACACGTACGGACCAGGCCAAACCATCGCGTCAGGCGGTCGACGAGCCAGAACAGTGGCTCGAACAGTGCGTCCACCATCGTGTCGTAGCTGGAGAACGAGTTGTACACAAGGCTCTTCAATGCCAGGCACGTGTACGCCCACGTCTTCCCGAGGCCGCGACCTCGGCTTCTGCCGCAGCTGCCCGCACACAAGCGGCCCAGTCCGCGGGCCGCCTGTGCCACGGCGCGCATCCCGACGGAGTAGCCACCGGGTCCAGGTCCAGGTCCAGCCTGGCGTGGTTGCCAGGTACAGTCCTGTGGAGCAGCAACAGAGTAGTGGTAGGTTCACCTGGGCACGCGGATAAAGAGAGGAGCTTTACTCTGAGCTGATGCTCTTGCACTTTGCTCCTAACACTACTGCTGCTTCCGCTGTTAATGCTGAATGCTGCTCTATCTTGTTAATGCTGCTACTATTACTACTGTAGTGCCGTTACTGTTAATACAGTTGCTGCTGTTGCTATTACTGTGCTTGTAGTTATTGCTGCTGCTGCTGATACTGCTGCTGCCGCCGCCGTTACAGAAGCTTGCTTTTATAATCTGATATTGCTGCTATCGTGCCTCTGTTAATGCGGCCACTGCTTGTGCTGCAATGGATGCTATTGCTGCTGCTGCTTTTTGTGGCGCTACCGCTGTTACTCTTGCTGCGCCGTACACAACTAAAATAAGGCAAAAAAACACCTGTCAGCGTCACCTGAGCGTACGTCGCGTATACAGACTTACAAAGTAAAAATTTACCCGGTGAGAAATCCGCAACTTGTCCTTAAAGAGGCGACTGGTCAAAGAACAACCACAAATCTGTCTCGTGTAAACAGTTGACAGCGGGTGCCTCAACTGTGCAAAGCTCAACTGCTGTGAGTGACGCACAGCCACATGTCTAAAGTAGAGACGCTGCATTGTGGGGGACAACGTGGACAAATTAATTATGAATGATGAGCATGGCCTGATAACCATCCACACGTGTGGTGGTGGTGGTGGTGCCTAAGACGGAGACTCCACCATCCACCCCACGCTGTCATTCTTGCCATCAATAAGGTTGCAGATGAAGAAAACAAGAATGTGCTCGTCAATTGCTCCCAAAAGTGCACGCCTCTCTTCAAGCCGATGACTGTGAATCCATCGCAAAAGATTTGGTGATGGAGCGGGGTACGAGCAGGTGGGTCGGATCATTCATTAATCCGTGCATTTATCTGGACCGCACAGGCACCCCAGCGGATGGGATTAAGCACGCAAAGGAATATGATTCAAGTGTCCAAGGGCTGCATATGGACTTTGTTTTTCATTATCTACGTGAAATGTAGTTGTCATGTGCAATTTGAGACAAATTACACGGTTGTTTTTTTATGTGCAAAAACACACTTCCATTAAAGACTCATTGGGGTTTGTCTTTGTGAATTCAAGCTTCCAAAATCCGTTCAGGTTTAGCATCTTATCGAGATTCGCACGACAGAAAAATGTAATGCGAATCATGCCCATGTGCATTTCACTTGTCACACTTTGCTGCCTCATGACATGTACTGCACTTGGTCAAGCCGCTGCTGGATAAGGGACTCCCTTGCACATTTGGGTTATTCAAGATGTTTTTTTACAGTTTAACACGTAGGCTTTCGCGACCAATATTATTCATAATAAAGGTTTTTGGGTTAGATCGCGTTTATTTATAAATGTGTCGCAACCCTCCACCACCCGTAAGACTAAAAGAACATCAGAGAAATATTAAATTATCTCAAACACAACTGTCGGCAGTGGCAGAACATGCTTGTCAACAAGGACACTCAATTGATTTTGACAATGTTGCAGTGGTGTGTAAAACTAATTATTACTGGCAAAGACTAATTAGAGAATCCATTGAAATTGAGAGGAACAAGAATAACTTTAATCGTTCTGACAGCTACCGGCTTAGTGCGGCCTGGAAGCGTATTATTAAATAATACACATTACATTTTGATTTAAAGAATTACTAATCTACAACTCATTACTAATCATAACCAATGACTGATTACTAATCGATTATATAATTACATTACCCCCCCCCCCTCCGCCTCTAATCACTGCACCTGATGAGTTAAGTGATGACGTCACCCTGCTGCTCTATATAAAACCGGGAGCAAGCGAGGGCTTTACCATTCTGGCGAATTGCCCGATGATGCTGGAAGTATTTACCAGCGAAACGTCGTACTCAAACTGTAAATGTGGATTAACTCTTCAACACACCGGTGGGCTGAAGTAGTGAATTATTTGTCTTTTGTCAACGTGACACTTTTTTTGCTGATTGGCCGTGTCGGGTGGTGGAGGGTTGCGACACATTTATAAATAAACGCGATCTAACCCAAAAACCTTTATTATGAATGTTTTTTTACGATACTTTACACATCTGGTGAGTGCAGGTTGAAGGCAGGTAGCATAGATTTGGGAGTATACACAGTAAAACAATGGATGAGGCTGCACTGCCTTATTTTATTTTATCCAAATAAAGTTATCAGAAAAACGACTTGGAATAAAAACAACGCCACAGATGGAATCTGACATCTGGATAGGTCTCTAGTATTCTATTATTTTATTTCTTTCGACGTGACTTTACCGAAAGAACCATTGAGTAATTCCTGCAGTCACAAAAGCTTTTACTCTAGTTTGGATCGGTCTCTTTGGACGAGTCCTCTATCTGCACCTCCCGTTCAAATGAGCGGATGGGATTAAGGGCGATTATAAACCGTGCATCGTCCCGTGTCTCTTAAAAACCGAACAGGCGATGGGATTAAGGCGACCCAACAGTTCACGCCGGTGGGTTCCACACCTCGACGCGCTAGTGTCGCTAACAGGCCCTATTGGAAGCCGTTTTGCGTCTAATAGCGGGGCAAGCTCTATCCTAGACTCAGCGTAGTCTCCTCGCTCGCATATTTAATAGTTTAATCCAGCCACGCGATTTGGCGTAATACTCCATTGGCTCAGAATAATTATTTCACTTATCCTTACTACCATGTGCGGTGCTACGTTATTGGGCAGCAGTGGGCAGTGAAGTAAAAACACATCCATATTCTTGGTTCTTTCGGTAAATATGAATCCCTGCATTCACGAAAGCTTTAAATCAAAATAAAAACACATCGTTCTGCTGTGCTGCCACTGCAACAACGTTAACGCCCCCCCCCCATTCACCAACCCACGCGAACACCGGCGGTAGTGAATTCTGGTCAAATAACCACGACGGCCGGCACGGCGTGATGAGGCCCTCCCCAACATCCACCAGTGGCTTGACAAAACTCTGTGCCTGCACACTGAAGGCCCCCGCCACCCATACAGGCAGACACAGGGGTAAAGAGACCCCCACTTTCACACGAACACTGGTGAGGCAGCAAGTAAAAAAAAAGACATCAGTTCCGCGTGAGCAATTACGACTGGGTCTGTGTGCGCCCGATAAACGACAATGGAATCAACGTTCTAGGCGTTGAATCTAGAAACCCATAACCTTGAAACGTTCAATTTCTGGAACTCACTTCACTGGAAGCAAAACTAGACTGGAGCCCGTGTTCTATTGAACCTCCTTTGAAAGTTGGGTCCACTGAACCGTAAAAACGTGCCGTTAAAGCGGCCTACCCCGGATTATCAACAACCTGTAACCTAAGGCCATTAGACTACTGGCACCGCAGATTCATGGCAAGATAAGCAGTGTCCCGGTACAGTCTAGCAGTACTCTCCCTAGCCCACTAGAATCCTAAACCTTAAACCTCTAATCCTTTAACCCCTAAAACATAACCGCAACTCGTAACCTATTACCCCATACGTGTAACTGAAGAGGCTAGCCCCATTAATATTTCATCGTCAGAAACCCAATTCATGTCTGTGATTGATCTTAAATCTGGTCTGTGATGGTATTTTTAAACAAAAATTCTCCGGAACAGTAGCCATGTCCTACTTCGCACCCTCTAACCTGGACCATAGAACTCGAACTCCCCTCCTGGTGAAATTGAACCCTTGCGTTATAATAATTCAAGCCGTTGTCTGGAGGCATAGAAGAACCCAGCCGGAACTTGCAAACCCCTGCGACCCACCCTGGTCCGTTCCAGCAGCAGCGGCGGCTTCAGCAGGGCGAACTCAAAACTCCTCCTCCAGGCGGCTGAAGCGGCAGGGGTTGCGGGATCAGAGAGGGATCGGGGTTCGTTGTCGGTGATTTTTGCTTCAGTGCTCTGCGTCCCGGCTGGGTCCCGGGACCACAACCAGAACCAGGATTTGAACCAGCAACAGAACTCGAGACCAAAAAAAAAATCAGGTCTCTTCGGATTTCTGCAACTTGGGTCTCGGGAGCTTGACACCAGGAACCAGAGCGTGGGACCGTAGGCTGTGAACAGGATCTGGGAATAGGAACCTGACCTAGACGCTAGTCCCGAGACCGCCAACTAGGTAGGACACGGGGACCCAGGTCCCGGTTGCATCCGGTCTGGGCCCTGATCCACAGGAGCCCCTTTACAGCGGGCATGAGCGGCCGGCGCTTATGGCGACACAAAAATGAACAAAATCCCAGGCCGGTGAGGTTACTGCTGCTGTAGGCGCGGGCCACAACAATGCTTGTCGGTGCGCGAAGGCGCTTCTCTGATTTGTAATCAATGAGAATTGGAGCAGCAAACAGCAGCAGCAGCAGCACCAGAGCGGTCAGCAGCACCAGAGCGGTCAGCAGCACCAAGCGGTAGCAGCACCACGACCCTCCCACCAACACCGCACCTCGTGAACTGCACGAGGAGGGGGGGGGGTGCCCTGTCAGGGAGGAGGGGGCGTGGCTTCGGAATTCCTACACCAGATGCGCGCCCACGCCGGCACCATGGCCGCCTCCGATTGGTCCACTCGATTCAAGAGGGTGGTGGGAGGGGGGGTGCGACCAATGAGCGCGCGCGCAAGCAGGGCGGGGGGAGGGGGGGTTGCGCTGTCTATGCGGTCTATGAAATAAAAAAAGTGGGGAGCGGTCAATTTTCCGGTTGGGACGTTTTGAAACCGGAAGTGGCTCGTGCGCGCCCCCCTCCCCCGTGCGTGTTCCGCGGCCACGTGACCCCACCCCCACAACGCACTCCCCTCCCCCCCCCGCGTGAACGATTTAAATATTCAACGATTTAACCATGCCATTAGTTATAATCGATGTTGTCGTTTTGTACCTGTACAGCCAGAGTCAGGGAGTCGGCAACAAAAATAACAAGAGCCAGCTATTTATTTATTTTTTCTCAAAATTATCTTATCCCAAAAAAATCCCTTAATATTTTAAGAGCCGCAATGCAATGTGATGGTGAATACGAAACGGTGGTTCCTTAATTAATAACGTCACGAAGCGGTCCTTGAAAGTAGCCGCAGGTTGCCGATCCTCCTGGCCTCAGTCTTTACCGACTGCCTCGTCCGTTTCGAGCATTAGCCTAAAAGGGAGACGTTGAGTAAACGCTGAATTAATCGACAATGATAGGTTCTCACACGATTGCATGCATTAATTGCGAACACGTGAATTGAACTGGATCTAAGAATATCATCATAGGGGCCGTCCATAAATGACGTCACGCACCTAGGGGGGGTCAATGTGACGTCACATCAAAATGCGCAACTTTAAATATTAATTAAATGGAATTTCTATAACAACACTAATTTTGATCAATTTTCATCATTAACTATTTGATTATTTAAAATTACTAAGGTCACCTTTTATTTATTCCATGAAGGAGCATTTTGCTTCTCCATGGGAGAATGGAGAAGCATACATTTTGTAAAAAAATTGTAATGATTGTTATTAAACATTTTGATTTTAATGATTCTACCAGGGCTTTTCATTCTGTGAAATGAATGTGATTGTTATAATTGTACTCTCCATTTTGCTTCGTTCTACTCCAAAGTTAAGTATTTTTTTAGTTATAATTACTTTTAATATTACATAATTATAAGAGAATTTCAATATAATATTCTGAACATCTGCAGTTTTAGTTAGACGCTGAATATTTTCAAGTGAATTTTCTGCAAAATTTCAGCTTTCCAACGCCTCCGTTTTAATAAATGTTTTCTCCTACAACATCAGAGTGCAGCGCCATATTAAATACGCACTACAATGACAACAATAGTTTAAAGAGATTTGAAGCATGTTTTATTTTCAAAATGGAAATATGTGGGGTTTTTTTGGGGGGGGGGGGGCAGAGCTGTGACGTCATATTTGAAGGCGGTCTGACGTATTGTGACGCCGTGTGACGAGGGGGGGAAGGTGTCAAAAATCGGCCAAAATCGCGTGACGTCATTTATGGACGGCCCCATAGCCAATCGAATGGTTCCTCCTCCTCCCTATCAAACCGCTCCTTCGGCGCTTCCATAAAAAAAAAAACAACACGGGACTGTGGTCCCGGCGCAGTTGAATGTATCCCCTCGCGTCGCGGCCCAGCGGGAGCGTGCGAGTTGCTTGGATGCAGAGTGTCACGGTTCGATTCCAGCAACCGCCCTGACTGTATGCTGGTCAGCACTGCACGTGTGTATTCACCATGCTGCGGCACCACGTGCCGTCCGCATCACAGTCAACGTCACAGATCCCGTGACGTCATTCACAAGCATTCGGCCATTGTGTGTTGGCGTCATGGGCCAAATGGGAAACGTCACCTGCAAATTAATCGGGGTAATACATCGTACAGTATCATTGCCCCTGACTGCAACAACAAAAAATTGCCATGACCCCGGGTAAAATAAGCGTAGCCTTTACGCTGATGACACTCAGCATTACATCGCAAATTACTGAACCATATCTTGCTGCCCGTCCTCTCTTGGTTCTAAACGTTGCCAAAACTTACACACTTCTAAATAAATACTTCCATTGGAGCGTGCACTTCCTAAATTCTGACGAGTCATATGTGGCACATTAGGAATGGACCACTCTTTAATCATTTCCTCGTGCAGCAAGGGAGTAAAGTGTGGTTTTGTGAAAGTCCTTGTGCTGTACAGTACATCAATGCACGTGTGTACACCAGCATGCGATACCTGAGTTGGGCCGGCAGGGTTATTGATTAACCGCACTTGTACGCCAGTCACGTGGTTAATGGCGACTCGGTTGAAGATTACTGTGTGACACAACGTGCTGTTGCATTATACAGATTAACCACAATAAATGTATATTCTTGGTTCTTTCGGTAAAGTCACGTAGAAGGGAAACAATACAATTATCACGACGTTTCGACTGCAACACAAGCAATCATCATCAGGTGTGAAAACCACAGCAAGAAAATTTAAAAAAGTGGCGTTTTTTGAACGTTAGCACCACGGAGAGCGATTTGGCAGTTATTCAAATGGACGAATCCATCTATTTTTTATTTAAAGCTTTCGTGACTGCAGGGATTCATATTCTTGGTTCTTTCGGTAAAGTCACGTAGAAAAAAAACAAAATAATAAAAATATAAAACAACACAATTCTCACGACGTTTCGACTGCAACACAAGCAATCATCACGTGTAAAAACCACAGCAAGAAAATTATTGTTTTTCTTGCTTGTGTTGCAGTCGAAACGTCGTGAGAATTTTATTGTTTTATATTTTTATTATTTAGTTTTCCTTCTACGCGACTTTACCGAAAGAACCAAGAAAATGAGTCCATCTATGTTCGGAAAAGAGGAGGGGGGAGACGAAAATAATGGATGCGGTCTGAAAGCCACCGTAAGCGTGAACAATCAATTAAGACCCAAAATGGTTTATGAAATCCTTCCAATGATTGCTAAGCCAGAATCCATCTTCTCGGTTGAAATTGTCTGTTTGTATTTGTGGATAGCCTCATGAACGAATCTCTCATGATAGCCAGTTGGCTTGCAGAGAACCTGTCTTGGAGAAGTCAATGTCATGTTTCCCTTCTACGCGACTTTACCGAAAGAGCCAAGAATATTAATCCCTGCAGTCACGAAAGCTTTAAATCACAATAAATGTGTTTGCCCTCGATTTGGAGCACCTGCCCACATCCTTCATTTCGAGTGTGCAACATATTTGTGCGAAAACTCGGAGTTGCCATTGCTGCAGGACTTTATATCGACATAAGCACATCTTCCTAACCCTAACCGCATCCACCATATCCTTCCCTCACCTGTTGAGACCCTCGGCCATGCCTTCGTCACGTCTTGACCATTGCTACTCTCCTCCTCTTTGACCTCCCTAAATCATCCCAAATGTAGTGGTCAGACTTTCTCACCCCCACACCTGTCGATGAGACCACATGAAATGCATACTCGGATTTCTGTAAGAAAGCCCGAGTCTCAATACAGTATTTTTTTTCAGGCGGGTCCTGTGTTGGGATCTATCGGTGTGGGATTAATTCAGAGTAGCGCGCACAAGCGAATAACATTCGAACGTCTGCACAAACAGGTTCGGGATCCCACTTGTTGCACTACCATCTACTGCTCCCCCCTCATAGCCCAATAACGTTTCACAATACTGCACGATTCTCCAACCCTTGTCATAGACAGGACCGGATTACAGCAGCGATTGCTCACCATTAACAATGGCGTCAATAGGATGAAAACGTAGTTTTTAAATTTTAATTTAATGTAAACGTTTTAAAATACACCCCTACGCCATTTTAAAAGGTCACGTCCATTATATTAATCGATCTTTCATCTGCCAATGGACTTGGCCTGGCCTTGTTTCTAGTTACGCGATTGAAACATGAGTCAGTGGTCCATATTGTTTCCAGAATTGTATAATAAATGTAATGTTTGCATGGAGAGTACTCGAGTATTAGAATGTTAACTATTAATAAGATAAAAGTTGATCAAAAATAACACTAGTGTACGACTAACTAGGGCTGCAGTGATTCACCTCGGTGGACATTCATTTCATTGCAATAGATTATTAACTTCTTGACATAGAATCAGTTTTTCACCAATGATCAAGGAGTTATTTTTTTCTGTTTTACAGTAACTTACTATTAACTCACGGTAATGAATACAAAATAAACTAATTCCACTCGCAATTTGTTGCAAGGCAAATTATTCACCAAAATTCTGGCAAAGGACATTGGGTTGGTGATGTGGCGGAGGCAGAGGGGCAGATGTCCAAGACCGATTCCAATATCACTCATCACCAATATTATTCCAAGCCGGGGATTGAATTCAGGTTCCTAGGTTCGGAGTGCAGTGCACTAACCACTGCACCACTACTCATTCCAAAAGTATTATATGCTGTACTGTGGAAAAAAAACTGCATTGAACTTTTAAAAAATGACATGGATTGCCATATTGGTGTAAAAAAAGAAAGTGTTTTACAATAAAAACTGAACATTGACACAGAACACTCACTTGGACAGCAAAATTCACTCTTTTTAATTTAGGATTGCATTTGAAGCATTACAAGCATTTAGCGACTTCAGGACACACATAAATACGAAAGTAAAACGACCAGACCGACAGTGTAAAACTTAAGCCAGCAACCATTGCAGACAATGGTTTAGTGAAATAAGTCAAGGAAATGGTTCCCGTGCTTTCCCTTTATATATCAACATTAATCTGACTGAACTACGACAGACTCGCAAACAAGTATCATTTGCACTCCACATCGACTTCGAACCAAATCTTCGACTGGTGTGAACTTGCGTCCGAAAACCGGGTCACGTTTACGCACACTTTGAACGTTACCGATAGCGCGCTTGAACTAGCGTGTCACTTGCGCTTGTGTTTTTTACTTTTTTACACGTGTAATTGTACCACGAGGGTGCGATGCCTTAAAAGGAACGGGTCCGGGTGCAAGAGGACTACGACACAAAAACACATTATTAGATGGCGGGTCACGCCAACCAGAGGCACACCCAGGGTTGGGGGGGCAAAAGGAGCAGATTTCCCCCCACCGCCCCGAAATGTTCAATCTGCCCTTCGAGGTCAGTGAAATTCTTAAATTTTTCATAAATGTAAAAGTCTAAATAACTCTTAATGTATATTTTATATTAGACATTTTAATATTGCGTTATTCAATCTTAGATCATATGCATTCAAACAAATTCTTAATCCATTTGCAGCCTGCTCCTATCTTTTGCTCCTTGGGTGCACCACTGACGTGAATAAGTGTCTCCGCTAATGCCCAGCCCTCTCCCTCCCCCCCTTCGCCAAGCCCCTAGCTTTGACTTCATGCTTCACATCCCACCAGGGTGAGCAACGTGCCCGCCGCCTTTCTCCCCCACGTGTGCCTGCGTGCGGCGATCCAGCGGCATGGCCCTCGGCATGGGTGGGCGCCGCTCACTTGGCCTTGCCCTGGGCCGCCACGGCCGCCATGGCTGCCTTGACGGTCTCCTCGTCCCCCAGGAACTGGCGAGGACCCGTGGGCTTGAGGTTGGCGTCCAGCTCGTAAACGATGGGAATGCCAGTTGGCAGGTTCAGCTCCATTATGTCGGCATCCGACATTCCTGGGGGAGTACAATGGGTAGGATGAGGGGAGCAAGTGGGAACAACGGATAATTCACTATTGGGGCGAGGCCCTCTCTACCACTGTGCGGGTCGTGAATTTTGTATGACCACACTTGACCACGCTGGTCAGGGCATGTTGGCGAAGTACCTAAACTTGTAACTAATTATAGGTGCACTTTGTGATGTTGCCACTGGCCGACCCTACTCTAGCTCATGAGCAAACACTCAGCCGGTGCACAGATGGGAGGTCCTGAAAGCCTATCTCTTGCCCACTCAGCAGATCAGGGCTATAATTACAAGCGTGACCTTTTCGTAATGGCAATGTGGCCACTCTTGTCCTCCCCTACATGCAGTCTCTGCTGCGCAGAATGCAGGGCGGCATCCTCCCCATTTAAAGCAGCGCTTCTCTCCTCTCGGGAAGCGACGGTGGTGCAGGGTCGGCTGCGCATAGACGAGAGTGGAGTGTGCCAGACATGGAAGGCACGTAGGATCGGGTTTTGCGATGCTGGATGCCGGTAAAGGGCAGGGGAAGGCTTGACCTTCACGAAAGCCAAAACTCAGAACTCGCCTAACCTGATGGTTAATTTGCACTATTGCAGCCATGCACTGCTGTGCAGTTATGTTTTCTGAAACTTCAAGCTCTGTGCACTAATGCACACTGATGATAATGTTTTGCTGTTTGCTATATATGTTTTTATGATGGAAGGGTTCCTTCAAGGCATAACACAGTGCATTAATTAATCAATAACAATACTCTAGCATTGCACGCATCAAAGCATGGACTTCAGATTCGGTTAATTGCAATATCTGCAAAAGATTGCAGAATTGCAAATGACAAACTATACAAATGAGAGAGTAGAAACTAGAAATAAAAAAATGTTATTGCTGAATCGAATCTCAATCCTGAAAAATGATAACTCATCAATTAGCTGAAGGGGTGAGATAATGCATTCTTAGGTCCTTCCCTAAAATGCAGTCTGCAATTCTTTACAACTGCAGCTTCTCTCAAACATGCAATGAAGCTGCTTGTGCAATAGCCAGGCAGTGCCGTTTCAGGGAGAATATTATAATGTGCATGCGCCATGTAACGTGACCTCCACACTGCAAGCTGACCATCTTACAGCTGGTACAGTAGTGACAGTTGCCCTTTCCAAAATGTACCCTCCCAGCCAGCCAGACGCAGGCTTGGCACAAATGCTCTAAAGTGCCAATATAGTATTACCCTTGTCAGCAGCGGTACACAAATAGACTTCAGATGTTCCGTGCAGGCAGCCGTGCGTTTTTTTTCCTGCCGTTAAAAATGGAGCGAGCAAATGTCTGACTGTGTCCTTCTTTGCATCATGCCGATAGACAGACCATTACGTTCAGTGGTTTAGGAAGTTGCAAGATAGCTCATGCTGCAATTGCCGAACTGCACCGATGTACAAATGTCTACATAGGCAATAATGTTACGTAACGGAATAACTTTGCATCGAAGTTAACTACGAAGGCACCCATTATGCATCTGCACTTTAGGCAACTTTCTACTTTCCATTGTCACTCAACATGAATAATAGAGCATTACATTAGGCGTCAAATCATATTTCACCTTGCCATCCATCGGTGGCACTGCAGTGAGGGGGGGGGGGGTGGAAATTACACTCTGAAAATAACGCTGTGGACAATTAGAATTGGCCTTGGTGCTCAGTGTGCACTGTAATTGTTGTGTTAATGAGCGAGGTACACCCACAAAAGGGGAAAAAACCCAGCGTTGGGATAATGGATAGCGTTGGTGCTACGGATCAGAAGATTGCAAATCATTCAGAATAGTGGTCATGGGTGACCCCAAAACCATATATAGGAACAAGGGGGTAGATAGGGATAGGGTCAGAGCTGTGAATTGGCTGCAAGAACTACCAGGGGATTTACCCAGCGACACCATCCTGAAATTCACACCAGCAGCGTAGCTATTGAGCGTGCAGGCGGCGCAACTGCACTCGCCTTCCTAATCGGCTCAAACTCCGGGCTACTAAGAGGGGAGAAATTGGGATAGTGGGGTCCCAATCTCATTCCTTGCACCAGAAACCCATAACCAACCACACTGCACCACTGACTTTTAACACACGCACACAGCAGCCACCCACCCCTTACCCTCCAGGTGCTTGACGATGCCGCGCAGGCTGTTGCCGTGCGCAGCGATGAGCACGCGCTTGCCCGCGCGGATCTGCGGCGCGATGTGGTCGTTCCAGAAGGGCAGCGCACGAGCAATGGTATCCTTAAGGCTCTCGGACTTGGGCAGCTCCTCGGCCTTGAGGTCCTTGTAGCGCCGGTCCTGCGCGAGGGAGAACGGAAACCGCAGCGGCGGCGTCAGTGATCTGTTCATAGCATGGTTCAGCATTGGAGGAGTTGTTGCCCATGAACTGTCATGACCCTCGGCTTTACAAAGCAGCAAGTAGGCGTTAACGACGTGTCGATTAAAAGTGGAAACTCATTTGATCAATCCCAGGCAAAATGGTGGGCCAGGGTTTGGCCATGTAATTACATATCTATTTTATATCATTGGACCTCATTTGCCAGTAACAAAATAAAAATAGGGTTTTTCCCCTTTTTTCTGGCAACAAAACTGAAACCTTTTTTTACGAGGATTCATGTCTGCATTAACCACAAAACTTGCAGTCAAAATGCAAACAAAAGACACTGATAATATATGCATTGTCCTTGAAACTGATTGGTCCACACCAGAGACCGCTTTCTTTAGAGCCTAGTCTCAATTGGTGCAAGACCAAATGACGCCTCTAAATAAAGGTGTCTCTGGTATGTACCAATCAGTTTCAAGGACAATGCATATATTACCAGTGTGGTTTTTTTTGCATTTTTACTGCAAGTATTGTGGTTAATGCAGACATGAATCCTCGTAAAAAAAGGTTTCAGTTTTGTTGCCAGAGAAAAGAGGAAAAACCCTATTATCTATTTTATACATGAACAGCCCTTGGTCAATCCACTGCTGGATGAAGGCCTCCCCAGTCAGTTATATGGGTTGTTTGACTACGATTAACTCCGATCTATGCGGGTTGGTGTTGGGCAGGCATCAGCAACCTGCGGCTCCAGAGCCGCACGAGGCTCTTTAGGACTGCATCGTGACGTTATTTATTAAGGACCACCATCTCGTATTCACGGCTCTTGAAATAGTTTTCTTTACAGACTTTGTAAAAAATAGCTCTTCTTGTTATTTTGGTTGGCGACCCCTAATGTAGGGGCACCTCAGGATTGGTTCAGATATCACTTCTCCACTGATGTTAGCTATGGCATCAAACTCAATTCGATGGGTTTACAGTGCAGCGTGCTAACTGCTGCGCTACCGCTCCACCACACGTAATAGTCAACCTTAATGTACCCAGGAAAGCCTCACTGAATCAGTCTGGAGATTAGTTTTTACGAGGGTCCTGCTTGGGATGTTTGGCAAATTATTTGGGTATTTTTGTGCGTTGGAGGACATTGGAGTGCCTGGAGAAAATCCACAAGGACAAGGAGGTAAACATTCAAACGTCACTCTCGAAACAGGCCGCCAGAAATCCACTGGCTGGTTTAACTGTCTCCTACTGGCCCCTTAATTTTCGGTGGACACACAAAGGATAAGGTGAATTCAGGGCCATAGAGAGGGAGGGGTGGGGAGAGTCAGGTGTGGCAATTTGCCCAGGGCCTTGCGTGTAAAGGCAGAGGGGACGTCATTATAGAACTTTTATCCCCTGGCTAAGTAAAAGAATGTGGCACATTGTTTGTGGAGTACACCATGTACAAACAAACCAAAACACTGCGTGTCATTTGAAAATAAATGCAGTATTCATTTGTCAAGAAAAAAACCAAACCAATCAATGTCAGCCATTTTATAGCCACCGCTTATCCGTTACTTAGTTTTCAAACGTAAAAAAAGTGGTTGCGCAAGTATTTCTAATCTACTGAATTGCTGGGATGATATCTGTTTTTCCATAAGCCTTACACCACAGGTCAGATTATGCACCACAAAAGTAACATGCGGCTCTCTATTCGTAATGCATTCATCTATCCCGCTGCTGGATGAAGACCTCCAAGCCGTCACTATATTTCACGGTCTTGCGAGGGGACAAACCCATCGAATTTCATCGCTCAATCTCCATCTATCGCTAATTTCACGGCTCCATCTTCCACGTCATCCCGGGTGTGTTCCCTCCCTTGGCCAACGGTAGCACGTGGTAACCAGACTAATTCCTCCCGACACCACTGACCAAGATAAATATTGCCGTTGTGAATCAATTGCCCGTTCATGCTGCTATGCAAAAGTGCTACTGCAGCTATTGCCAGTGCTTATGTACAACTAATGTTGCCATTTATAAATGCTGCTCGCTGTCATTGCTCATGCTTTTATTGCAGCAGCTGTTGTGGACTCTGCTGCTGTCCATGTTACTGCTGCTACTTGCGTTTATTTCCGTTTCTGCTGCGTGTACAAATGATGCTCCTAGTCGCTGCTGCTTGTTGGGTAATGGGTTCTTATTCTGTATCTAGAACTTCTTTCGCACCGTATGTAGCCAGCTGTGCTAATCGGAGGTGCGGATTCTCCTACAGCTGTCGCTGTAAATGCTATTCCTATTGTTGCAGCTGTTCTACCGCTGCTGCTGCTGCTACTTCAGCTTCTACAGCGGATAAGCACTGCTCATAGGCGATGACGCTACTATAGCTATTCATACAGCTGTTGCTACAATAGCTGCCCCAATAAACTGACGATACAGCAAGCTACTGCCGGAATAGCTGCAGCACTGCTCCTATACAGTACCTGTTGGTGCTACTTTTGCTTCATCTACAGCTGCTGTCCCTGCGACAACAGCACTGCTCCTATACCTGTTGTAGCTCCGAAAGGTGCTTGTGTAGGCTGCTAATGCTGTAATTGCTACTATAGCTGCTGTCATAGCCGTCCCTGCTGCTGCTGTCGAGGCAGGAGGAGGCTACGTGCACACGCGCACTCTGTCCATGTCTGCTGCGCGCACTGTGACTCATTTCCGCAGTGCGGCACCGCGGTCTGGGCGGCCGCTTCGACCTCCCCGCTCCCCTAGGCCCAACCCGGGGCCCAACCTGGGACCCCCCCATCAAGCTCTGCGGAGTCCCCCCCTCACCCCCTTCACACCAGGGCAACATAACGAACCACGTTGCACACACGCATCGCGCAATAGAAATCGCGCCATATGGGTGGATAGTGTGTGTGTGTGGTTTCTGAGAGGTGTGTGTTTGTGCGAGGTGTGGTGTGAATCAGGAGTTGTAGAACAGTTGACGTGTAGTGTGCGTGGCGTGTAAAATCAATGGTGTCTGTACGACAGAGTAAAAATAAGCTGTGGGTGGGGTGTGCATATAACTGTACTGCAGTATGTGGGTTAAGCATGCTGCTGTACGTGTGATGAATGCATGGTCTGCGATGCAAGGCGTGTGTATGTGTGTCTGTTGAATGTGGTTGTATGTGGTGTGTGATGTAAGGTGTGTGGTATGCATGTTGTGGGTGTGAGGATGCATGGTGTGTGTGTGGATGCATGTTGTGGGTGTGAGTGTGATACGCTGCGTGCGTGGCATACGTGGATGTGGCGTGTTGTCTGTGGTGTGCGATGCAAAATGTGTTGTCGTCTGGTGTGGCGATTCAAACAAGGCCCCTGCAGCACACTACAACCTTGAGATGTCCTTGCCTGCAGCCCACTGACCAATCAGTAATCATTACAAATACGCTCTATTCTGGTCACAGTATACAATACATGCGTGTGTGTAGTGTGAACACACTATATTGTTTACACAGTGCTGTACAACCCAAGCCACTGTAATTCGTAAGCAATTATGTGATAGGACAGTACAGGACCAACAACGTGGAGATGGAGCAATGAAATAAGCCTGCGTGGAGCAGGAGTGAGATGGCAAGGTCTTCATCCAGCAGTCGCTCGATTGTATGGCCGATGGTGTATTCATGTCAGGTTCAGCTCGTGTTGGCTACTGCTTGGACCGTTTTGTTCAGGTGTGCTTAGGTTCGGGTGTGCTTAGGTTCAGGTGTATTTAGGTTCAGGCGTGCTTAGGTTCAGGCGTGCTTAGGTTCAGGCGTGCTTAGGTGCAGGCGTGCTTAGGTGCAGGCCAGGTGTTGAAACGGGGTCATGAGAAATGCGGTTAAGTCATGTACAGTGTCGTCAGCTCTGCTAAAGCCAGATCAAATATAAAATAATCAATCTTCTTTGGTTCTTTCGGTAAAGTCACGTAGAATGATAATAAAATAATAAATTGTAATACATTTATTTTATCAATTTATTATTTTATTATCATTCTACGTGACTTTACCGAAAGAACCAAAGAAGATGAATCATTGCAGTCACGAAAGCTTTAAATCGAAAAATAATCAATCTTCGGTCAGATTTATTCAATCACTATACTGCAGGTTATACCACACCTGAATAAAATGGTCCAATCTTATCAGTCGAGGTGGAAACGAACTCTTATCGATTCCAATTAAAAAAAAAACTATACTGTATGTGCAAGTCGTGATGTTTGATCTTCTCGGATAAAATCTGTGCAATTCGCCAAGGCAATAAAAAAAAATCAGGTGACAGCTTGGACGACGACGATGCCAACAATTGCGCACCGAGCCCAATCCATTCTGCTCCAGTAACCATAGCAATGCCAGCTCAAGGTGCCTCTAGTATTACCCTCACCTGAAAACCCGAATCAATGCATGCAAACCGACACGGTTAAACCCCCTATTCGTGTACAGGGAAAACACGACTCTGCAGCTCCATTCGGCGTACAGACGTTTCAATTACGGGCGCAAAAAAAAATACTCGTTTGCGTTTCTCCCTTGTGATGGGACTGGTCTAGTGTGCACGTAGAGGACACATGAAGGCACCGGGGTTGACCAATAATGTCCGAATTGGTCTGCAATAAAAAAAAAATTCCCCCTCCAGGGCCCTCACCTGCGCGATGGCCTTGAAGTAAGCGTGATCCGACTCCATGGGGGGTGGCGGCACGTCGAAGGAACGACGCCAGATCTTCACCTGCGCCTCGCCGTGCTTGGCGGCCGTCTCCGACTTGTTGAGGCCGATGAGGCCGCCGTAGTGGCGCTCGTTGAGCCTCCAGGTGCGCACCACGGGCAGCCACATCTGGTCGATCTCGTCGAGCACGATCCACAGCGTGCGGATGGCGCGCTTCAGCACGGACGTGTAGCAGACGTCGAACTTGAAGCCGGCGTCCTTGAGTGCCACGGCGCCGCGCTTCGCCTCCATGAGGCCCTTGTCGTTGAGGTCGGCGTCGAACCAGCCGCAGAAGCGGTTTTCGTTGTTCCAGGTGCTCTCGCCGTGGCGGACGATCACGAGCTTGTACGTGGCCATGATAACGACGGCGGGGAAGACGAGCGAGAGACGCGCGAGACGCTGTCAGAGACGGGGGCGAGGGGTGTGACGGAGGAGCTTCGGGGCAGGGCGTGCGCGGAGAGAAGACGGCGCCAAGGTCGCTCGCTTTTATAGGCGAGTCGAGGAGGAGGAGTCGAGGAGGAGGAGTCGAGGGAGGAGGAGTCGAGAAGAGGAGGAGTCGAGAGGGGGAGGAGGAGTCACGCCCCCCGCCAAGGATTCCGCGGTGAACATTGCTGGGCTCAGCGACGTTCCGCCCCACGGGCCTCGTTCTCAAGCTGCACCCAAGCAAAGGCGGGGGATGGGCAGGGACCGCATACGACCCCACTTGGCTGGTGGGACTGAGAGAGAAGTTAAATAATTGTTATTTGTTAGTTCACGTTTAGATTTAGTGTTTTTTAGGGGAGTGGGAGAGACACCCTTCCCGGTGTCTGGGGAGCGCTGGCGACCCGAGTTCGATTCCCGCTCACGGCCAACACCGGTGACGATTTATCTGAACCGATCTTGAGCCTCGCCTAGGTCGACTCGGCCTCAATTGAGTACCAGTTGCGGTGTGGAATAAACATCGCCACCGGGAAGACAAAGGACGGTCGGGCGTGGTGCTGGCCCACCCACCCCCTTCGTGTGCCGTGCCGGCCTTCGTAGCTGCTCACGAACAGCACTTGTCCCGACAGTACGTTCAGGCTATACGGGGGATCTTTGTCTTTGGTATGTGCCCCCCACTCCTCCCACCCCACACATTCCCTTGCGGATACTCACAGCATAGTGAAGGTAGTACAGTATTGTTGACACGAAAATACCGATAAGCAATTCCACGTTTCTGCATTAAAAGAATATACGAATTGCATTGCTCTTATATGCTCCCACGTCTATGCTCCCTCCCCCCACCCCGACACACACCGTGGTGAAGTATGGTGACAATAGCGCCCCCCACCCGGACACACACACACGAATTCACACGGCGTCGTGGGGAGGTGACTCATCCAGCAGTGGATTGACCGTCCTGTAACATGCGCACGTCTCGTGCTACTGGGTACACTTTGGAGACGTGCGAATGCGGCTTTTGCCAAGAGAGGAGATGACGAAGGGGTGTGTGGCAGGAGTGGTTTGCTGTGTCACTGCGCTCCAACGGATTCTCTTTCTCCAAAAAATAAAATGTGTACGCGCCGCTGTTTTAAATGTCTCCAATATCAGTCCTCGGAAATCTGAGACGGGGCCACGGTGCTGAGTAGCCGGTTTAAATGTGTACGGTAATCTCAAGCGTTACCGTAGGTGGTATATTTCCAGACTGCTTGGCCCGCGTGGTCTGGTTTAAATGGCCCACGCGAACGCGGCATGAGTCCACGTGGAAGCGTGCGCTGAACGCTGAACGCACGCCTGTATGCGTTACAACAGGGGTCGGGAACCTTTTTGACTAAGAGAGCCATGAAAGCAAAAAATTTGGAAATTTATTTCAGTGAGAGCCATATAATATATTTTAAAAGTGAATTCAACTAAATGTCAGTATAATAAGCCTCTGAATTTATTCTTTTAAATAATGTTGTTATAACACTCACCATTAATGCGACTTCTGGTGCTGCATGGATTTGCTGATGTCTTTGTAGTCGGGTTGGTACTTTGTAGTCGGGTTGGTACTTGGTGAGGTTAAGCTTCATGCAAGCGTTGAGGCTTTCATCCGTTAAACGTGATCGTAGGTTGGACTTGATGTTTTTAAGATGTGAGAATGACTGCTCACATGCATACGTAGATCCAAACATGGTCAATACAGCAATACTCACACGCTGCAGTGTGTGGTATGTGACAGGAAGCGCGTTCCAAGTTTTGAGAATCAGCTGGTCTTCGGGTTGGAGTTTTTTCATTTCTGTCCACATGTGCTTGCTCGCCAACTCCGCTTTCTGTCGTGTGATTCTTTCCAAATCTTCATTCAGTGACTTGAACTTATTCACCCACATGTCTGAGGCCTTCAGGTCAGCCACTTCTGCTTCAAAATCTCTGACGGAGACACCAGGGATGTAATTCAGGTCGGCTGTGTTCAGTGAACACTCGTTTGGATGGGTGATGAACTTAAAAAGACGAGTGTGCTCACGAAATTCTCCAAAGCGTGCTTTGAAGGACTGTAGGAGACTGGATGTGCAGCCAGCTAGCTGGTGGAGATCAAGGTTTTGAATGGGCTCACTTGCTGTGCATGCATCTTTAAATTGGCTCAGTTTTTCAAAATGTAGTAAACGACCTGTTTCAAGATCCGTGATGAAAAGCTCCAGCTTGTTTTCAAAAGCAAATACAGCTTGTTGAAGGGATAACACTGTATTTCCAATGCCTTGCATTTTCACGTTGAGCTGGTTCAGATGTTCAGTCAGATCTACGAGATAGTAAAACTTGAGGAGCCACTCGGTGTCGGCTAGCTCAGGATGCCCGACGCCTTTCATTTCAAGGAAAGTCCGGATTTCGTTCAGGCAAGCCGCAAAACGGCTAAGCACCTTCCCTCTTGACAACCAACGCACATTGCTGTGCAAAAGCAGACCAGGATAGTTATTTACAACTTCATCCAGCAGTGTTTTAAACTGGCGATCATTTAAGGCTCGGGCAACAATAAAGTTGATCACACGAATGACCAGCGACATCACTTCGCCAAACTGCCTGTCACACATCTGAGCACAAAGTGCCTCCTGGTGTATAATGCAATGGAAACTTAGGATGGGTCTATTTTCATGTTCACGGAGAAGCGCCACAAATCCTTTGTTTTTCCCCACCATACACGGAGCACCATCAGTACACACTGAGAGAAGTTTATCCATAGGTAGACTTTTTTCTTGAGCAAACTCCATGAAAGACTTGAATAAATCCTCACCTCTTGTGGACCCTTTTAATGGCAGAACAGCAAGACTTTCTTTGCGCAGTGTGTCACCAACAGCATATCTTGCAATCACGCTGAACTGCGACAAATGGCTCACGTCTGTTGACTCATCCAAAGCCAGAGAAAAGAACGGCGCTGCATTTATGTCCTTCACTTGCGTTTCCTCCACTTTGTTTGCCATCACGATGGTACGATCATGAACAGTTCTTGCCGACAGAGGCATGTCTTGTATCCGTTTGATTATCTTGTCTTTGTTCGGAAGAACATCAAAAAGTTCATTGGCTAAATCCAGCATGAACGTTTTAGCATACTCGCCATCTGTGAATGGTTTTCCGTTCCTCACTATTGCTAAAGAACCAGCAAAGCTAGCCGAATTATAGTCACCTTGCCGGGTCCATACGCGGAGTTGCTGCTGGCTAGCTTGCACCCTGCTCAGAAGCTCTTGGCACGCTTTCTTTCTGCTGTCTCCCGCAGGGTATTTTGATGCAAAGGTAGCGTGGCGCGTGTCGAAGTGCCGCTTTACATTCGACCGTTTCAACGATGTAATTTTGTCATTGCAAATTAGACACACCGCAGAACCCGCTCTCTCCACAAAGGCGAATTCTTCGGTCCATTCGTCCTGAAATGTACGATACTCGTCGTCTTTTTTTCTTTTCGCCATCTTCTTCGTCGAAGGGTTAGCTTTGAGCTAATGACCGAGCAGACGCAGTCTCAGACTGATTCAAAAGGGGGCGTTTACCTGTTTTACCCAGCAACGGCAAACGTAGGCCAGTATCATCCAATTAAAATAATGGACAATTGCTCCTGCAGCCCTGAACAGGACATGCGCAGTGAAAAATCGATGGATGGATTAAAACAAGTGAGAATATTTTGTTTTATCTGCGAGCCATATGCAATCATCAAAAGAGCCACATCTGGCTCGCGAGCCATAGGTTCCCGACCCCTGCGTTACAAGTATATAATTGCAGTACAATTTTGACTTAAAAACTTTAGTGACTGCAGGAATTCATATTCTTTGGTACTTTCGGTAAAGTCACGTAGATAGAAAAATAATAAAAAGAAAGTGGAAAAAATAGAAAAAATATAAAACAAAAAAACCCGTTAATGTAGACTGTAGCCTGGTTCTTAATCGGAGTGAGTGTACTGGCAGTCTATAATGTAGACTGTAGACTGGTTATTAAGTTTGGTGAGTGTACTGGCAGTCTATAGTGTAGACTGTAGTAATGGTTCAAACTAGATTTGAAGCTTTCGTGACTGCAGGAATTACTCTTTGGTTCTTTCGGTAAAGTCACGTAGAAAGAAAATAAATTAAATAATAATAGAATACGACGTTTCGAATGCAACACAAGCAACCGTCATCAGGTAAGAATGAATGTGAAAATAAACCTAGTAACCTTAGAAATATAATTCAATACAACAAACAGATCTCGGCTAACACAACAGTCAACACCCTACCTGGTTGATTACATTTGTGGTGCCACCGCGGCGGAGTAGCTCCGTCGGGGACCGTGCCCACCACCGCGACACCACCACCGGGGGGTGACAACGCCGACGCGCCGCCCCCCCCCCCCCCCGCACAAACGCACACACACCCCACGTAGAGCCGGAAGGGGAGATCACCTGGCCGATAGAAGCCCCTAATGGGATTAAGTTTCATGGTTTCCTACGGCGGGGAATTTGGGCGATCTCCCCCCGTAGCTGACGCGCACCGCCGTGCCGTGACCGAATATCAACGTTACATGGTCACAGCGGAGGCGGCATGGCCGCCGCGGATGCAACGACGCACACATAGCACGGAGCGTGGGAACGGCGGTACGCCTTTGTCATAGGTAGCATTAGGGCCCCCCAATAACAACGCGACAGGAACATTCCAACATCTGAATGGATGGGGCCGCCTGGGGGTGTGAACCGCGGCGCGCCTTTATTATAGATGCAATTAGGAGCATTCCAACATCTGAATGGACAGGGCCGCCTGGGGTGTGAGAACCACAGTGCGCCTTTATTATGAATGGGATTAGGGACTCGATGACAATGAGATAAAAATAACTCGACCTCCGATTGGGCCGGGCAGCATGGGTGCGAAAGCATCGGAAGGCCTTTTGTTATAGGTAAGCTAATAGACCTGAATGTGAAAAGGACGAAAATAACTCGGCCTCCGATTGGGCAAAGAGCGCGGGGGAGAGACGAAAGTCTTTGCGATCGGGTGGATAAAAGACGGAGGCTTAGCGTAGCAAAGAGATCTTCTTCT